GCAGAACTTTATGTTGAAGCCTAAATTCTGAGAGATAGAGTTATCTCTAAATAGGTGAGTCTCACGATGCTAAACGCTAGGAATTCTACTTCCATCAAGGTCTACCATCTCACACGGAAGTCTTACTTCGTTTGGTGCGATGCAAGAACCTTGCATCTCAGAAAATTCTCAGTGAGATTAATGGCAGACAGGCCTGGACCAGCAGTCGACTCTTAGCACCATTAAGGGTCAGGTCTCTGTGCTTGCAATCTTGTTGCAGAGATTTCTGGCTTCCCATTCTTGGAACAAAACTTTTGTACAGAGTTTTTCCTATGTGAATTCCCCTATGTCCTTCCCTGTGACTCTGTGGGATCTGAATCTGGTTCTTTCTGCACTTCAGAAACTGCTCTTTGAACCAATCAGGGATATTTCCCTTTCCACTCTCACTCATAAAGTTGCGTTTCTTGTTGTCATCACCCCTGCTAGGTGAGTATCTGAGCTGGCAGCCTCATCCTTCTTGGTTATATACAGGTAGAAGGTGGTGTTGAGGTAAAAACTTTCTTCCTTCCTTAAGTAGTTTTGGCCTTTCGCCTCAACCAGGACATAGTTCTGCCACCCCTCTGTTCAGCTCCAGTTCATCAGAATAAGATTTTTCCTGGATGTAGTCTGTGCTGTGCGGGATTACCTTGCAGCCACTACTTCTATCACAAATACTAACTCTATCTCAATGAATAAGAAAGAATATTAGATTTTTGTACTCACCGTAAAATCCATTTTTGGAGTTCTTTGAGGGACACTAATCCCACTTCTCTGTCTATAATCTTGCTCTTGCTACTGCTTTTCCACCAAACTAAGGCATGCTTGGATTAGGAGCGCTCATACTGAGCTGACCACAATTTGTTTGCAAGTGTCCAAATCATCCTGTAGATGGCAGTATAACTGGGCAGTTTCTGAATTTGTGTGACCCTTAGTGAACTACAAGAAATGTATTTTACAGTAAAAACAAAGACACAATTTTTCTGAATATTGCAAAAAAAAAATTTAAATTGGCAATTTACAGTAACTCAAAAACAATTTGTGTTATACATTTCTTTTTGCAGAATACTTATTGTCTTACATGGTTGTTTATTTTCAGAGAACATAAGAGCACCTGTAAACCAAAGGGGGCCACAGAGTATGGAAAACATTTGACTGATGGAGCTACTGAATAAACACTAAATATTTTGTTTGCATTGTCTGAATAAGACATTTTGAAAGACCTATGACAAGAGAGATACTGCTAAATAAAAATGCTTACATTAAAGTAATACGTGTGTAAAGAAAATTAAAAATACCTTTACTATCTTGTCATTTGAACATCAAACGTTTGATAAACAGTTGTTTCTCATATTAAGAACATAAATTAAATAGAATAGTGATACAATTGTGAAAAGATAGGGAACAAATATAACTAACCCCAAATGAAATAAAAAAGTCCTTGGGATATGGAGGACAAAGTCTGATGGCACAGTATGTTCACTTACTTAATCCCTTTACAACTCGAAGTCTTTTATGTGGTTTTTTTTTTTCATAAATCTACTACAGAATGTAGCAGTCTGCATTTATTAATCGCAAAAATATTATAATTTTCAAAATGTTTTAAAAAGTCATAGTAACAATTAAAGAAGAACTCCAGCAAATCAACAAATTAACCCTTGCAGTGGGGCTAAAATAAAGAACATATACTCACCTGATTGTCAGTCCTGTGCCGCTGACCACTCACCTCTCTCCCCCTCCTTTCTGGTGGGAGAATGTTCCTTGGCAGTTGCATTAGATGTGATGATGTCATGAGTTCTTAGACTGTCAGAGCCTGGGAGAGAAGAGAATGCAGGGACCGGTCTAGGAGCTAAGTGGGGCTGAGGAAAAGGTGAACGTACAGCTTTTTCTTTTTTTAGCAACAGTATGAAATTGTATTCCTTCAGTTAAAAGAAAAGTTGTGATTTGCCATGTTTATTTGCCACGTTAATTGATGAGCCACAGAACTACATTGGCACCATGGATAATGACTCCAGCTTTACTGCCACATCTCCTTCCTATGGAGATGACCTTAATTGCAACCTCTGTATTTTTAACTCCCTCAACCACAGCAAGCCCCTCAACTAATGATATCCCTGCTCCAGAAATTGCTTTATTTGATGCCTTCTTAACCTCAGTCACCCTATTGTCACCCTCTTGCATCTTGCCATGACTGGAAGCCTAATTCGGCTGCTATCACTTTAGCATGGTGATTAGGTCACTACATCTACTGTTTTTCCCATTTGCTCACTGATGCAGTCATTCTAAGTATAGACTTTTAATTTTTTTTTAAATATAGATACGTATGTAAAAGAGATCACATTGAAGTAAATGCTAAGAAATTATTTTGCTCAGTGGTTTTCTTTTTTTTTAGAATGTTTTTTTGCTTTATTCAAGATTTCTCCACTGGCGACTAAGTGGAGGCTCTTTCTGCAGCTGTCCAGATTGGCTAATCTTTGCCGTACCCAGACCCTGCTGAACCAAAGATGTGGAGCCTGTCTGGAATGTGACCTTTAGGGCCAGTTTACACCATATGCAGTCCGTTTATTTTGACTGCTGCAGCCAAAATACATCACAATGCTTTCCTATGGGCTTTCTTGTGCTTAATTCACACCATTGCAGTCCGTTCAGATGCAGTCAGAAAAAGTACTGCTTGTCCTATTTTACCTGCACAAAACGCAGCGGAATGCATAAAAAAAAAACAATTGATTGCGGCATCATCCAGGGACATGCAGGGGAAAAAAACGGATCGCAATGCAACTGCGCAGACGCACGCAGTTGTGATGCAGTTTCTGGTGTGAACTAACCCCTAAGGCACTGGATTATTTTTGTGGCACTTTCCCATGTTAGCCGCATAATGCTTTTCAGGTCCAGGGCTTTGCCACTACTGTGTCCTGTCTCTGATGACTCTTTGTGAACATGCCTATGCAAAAGGTCAGGATGTTTAATATGTGCCTACAGTACTTTTTAATCTCCCTGTTATGGTACTGTACATGCAGCCACAGAGCAGTAACCCTTAGTGTGTGCAGTCTTTGACACTTTTGACTTTTACTGCAGTTTGCCTGTAGCCTTCCGCTCTGCCAGGAACCGACAGTCTCCCAAGCTCTGGCATGTCTTGTTGCGTTTTTTAATCTTTTACCTTTTCTTTAATAAATAAAGAATGTTGTAAGCCATGAGGCTCCTTGAAGTATGTCTCTGTCTTAGCCAGGGTGAAGCTTTCTAGAACTGCAGGAGTTTATGGAAAAAGTTACCACTAGGATTGCTGGCTCTGAATGTAAAGGCTGTAAACACACCTCCACCTTCCCCACCAGATTCTTTACCTGACATTAGTACACTTGTAGCCTCTGAGCACTTTGCTGCGGATGTCCTCTCTGGTGAGGAGTCTTATAAATCCTTAATAGATGAGCCTGCTTCTGAGTAACATCAGTCAGCTATTACCCCCAATTTAAAAAATACCATACGAGTTCTTCTTGATGTGGTGCAAGATACCTTACAGATGGAACAACCTGTTGCCTCAAAAGCTTCTGTAACTAGTCTGGGATCATTCCAAAGTTTGGAAACTTAAAATTTTCCAGTAAATTCTTTACTCAAGGATGTTCAATGTGGAGATTGCAAAAATCCTGATGAAATGTTTTCTCTTCCATAAGTTTTTCAGAGCAATATATGTTTGAGCAGTCCTTTATCAAAACATGGGATTTCCCCACTGTAGCTTCGGCAATTTCCACAAACTTTGGGACAGAAAAATGCACACTGATAAAGTACATAGATGTTGTTGGTGCAGGCTACATGAACAATGGAGAGATTCCATCTACCGATCAACATTCTGGAACAACAAGCAGTTTTGTTTCCCTGCATTGATGTACACCCCCAACTACAGGGTCATCCGATCAGGATTCAGTCGGAAAACTCCTCAGCCTTCCCCTAGCACATCACTGTCAGTTTTCACGCCCAACAGCCATTCAAAATATGCTACCCGAGGGTCCGTTTACGCTAGTACAGTGCGATAATCATACAGTCCCATGCGATTAATGCCCTGTACCACGCAATTGCACCTACTGCACTTTCTGGTGTGGAAGGTGTTTTGCTTTGCCATTAACTTGAATGACACCCCCAAAGGCATCTCTTGCCCACAGTCCAATAGACGGTACTGCAATGCCGTGCATTCCATTGCAGTGCAACTTGGGTCGCGACTAGATGACCAAGGACAAATGTGGGTCCTGAGGTTACACAGGTTGAGAACCACTGATCTAAAACATCTACATGTTTTGACCTGACAAGCAAGGTATCATCTAGGTGTATATGATCTTTAGGAGACCCATCTAAACCATGATACTGTGCAGTACCATGCTTGGCCAGTAGATGGACTGGCCAAGCATGTCTCCAGACCTAAACCCTATTGAGCATCTGTGGGGCATCCTCAAATGGAAGGCGGGGTAGCGCAAGGTCTCTAACATCCACCAGCTCCGTGATGTCATCATGGAGGAGTGAAAGAGGACTCCAGTGACAACCTGTGAAGCTCTGGTGAACTCCATGCCCAAGAGGGTTAAGGCAGTGCTGGAAAATAATGGTGGCCACACAAAATATTGATACTTTGGACACAATTTGGACATTTTCACTTAGGGGTGTACTCACTTTTATTGTCAGCAGTTTAGACATTAATGGCTGTGTCTTGAGTTATTTGGAGGGGACAGCAAATGTACACTGATATACAAGCTATACACTCACTACTTTACATTGCAGCAAAGTGTCATTTGTTCTGTGTCGTCACATGAAATGATATAATAAAATATTTACAAAAATGTGAGGGGTGTACTCACTTCTGTGAGATACTGTGTGTGTGTGTGTGTGTGTGTGTTTATATATATATATATATATTACACATACATACACACACACACACATACACACACACACTATATCAGATAAAGGAGAAGGTTTGCACATTTGTTACCACTAGCAAGGTTTATTTAGAAAAATAAAAACTGTACAAGAGACTATTATGATTGTCTTGGTATTCTCAAGTGAATATTGGCTTTCAATTCCACTGTTCCAGCTTGTCAGCTTTTAGTATGATGTTAGATTCACAGTCTTGTAATTCATTGTATTTATTGACCTTAAAGAAATATATAATTAATCCAAACAGGTAAACATATATGAAAGTACTAAAAACATGAGTTGATTACCTGATAACTCTGTTTCCAGGAATCTTCCAGGACAGCCATCGAGATATAGGCTCCGCCTGCCTGCAACAGGAAACACATCAACCACATTAAAAATAACATGTAATAAGTCTTCAGCAACTTCAGGCAGCATACATGTTTATTCTATTGCATACTTAAATTGTATGCATATTTTTTTAATGAATGGTAATCGAGGGCATAGTTAGACTTTTATAGGCAGAACTGAGTATAGCAGTCCAGCTGCCATGCCCTGACCAATAAGAGAGCCTCAGTGGCCAGTGTGGTTTTATCACAAAAAACATACTGACTGTATAATTAGCTTTTGAACAAAATAGGTTGTGATTATTGTGTGCTTGACTGTAATAGGAACATCTTTGGGGGTCAGAGACTGATATGAACACTTGTGTATATTCTGTAATGAACATAAAATACATCGTTTGGGGTCACTTTTATTCGTTAAAGCAGACCTCCAGGATTTTTTTTAAAGGGATTTAAGAAATTGGAATTACCCCCTCCAATCTGGCCCCCTCTACCCCCTCCAATTTGGGCCTGAGTGTAGGAGAGCTGCAATTCTACTGTTGCAGAACCCACTTGTTACCCAACACATTTAAAAGAAAAAAAACAATTTTCCTGAAGTTTGTCTAAACTTATAAAAGAGGAGAATAGTTTTCCTGTTTATATAAAATACAGTCTGCATACATGATACAGAAGTTCTCGCATTTTCGATAATCTGTCTCTAATTAAACCTTCATATAGGGAGCTGTCTGTAGAGAGAAAGAGTGAGGGACATATATCACTGCTCTGCTTCACTGTCTTGTGTGTTTAAATGGCAGCTTGAGCTACTGAGCTCTGTGAAACATATATATTTTAACAAAGGAGCTAAGGAACACCTGGAAAGCATGTAAATAAAAGCCCGAAGTTCCAAGTGCTGTCTGAATATTCAGATGCAATGTTTTATATTTGCTCTTGCCCAACTATAAAATATATATGTATATAAATAATCGGTATAGAATAGAAGCAAACACTTTAAAGCTGAAGCATGTATAAAACATAATTTTATCTAGTTATGTATTCATGAAAAAAAAAAATCTTTAAAATATTTTTACACTAAACTACCATGCATACCTGAATCTACCTTCATATCAGCCTCCTATAATCCCTTGCACAGGGGCACTGTATGCTCTCACTGGGACAGGTTCCAGACTAGATTATATTGTTTAAAAGTAAAAATCTAGCCAAAACATAGTTTTGGATAGAAAAGAAACAGGTTGAAACCTCTATCGGGGTTTTAACACTGTCTGTATGTGTACTGCATAGATCTGTACCCATGTTGTATTATGGGTGGCACCAGTAAGTCTCTTGAAAGAAAACCATTCCTTATCCAAAACCAAAAACAATGGCCTGACTTTTTTAATGGAATTGTATTCTGCAGAGAAGTCCAGTACACAATTGTATGTGGTATGTTAAAGTGTAACTTAAAAGGAGAACTATGAGGTGAGTGCTTTTCACTCACCTCATAGTTCTATCCGACCTATGACAATGAGACCGTCACAGGCCGGCTCAGTAGATCGAGAAGTGAGCGAACACATAACGGCGTTCGCTCACCTCTCCATCCTGTCACAGCTCCCTGCTGTGACGGGGAGGGGCTGGATTCCCCCCCTCCCCGCTCCAATCCTCCAACGCTGACTGGTGGTACGGACGGGGGAGGAGGCAGGTACAGCTGGCTCTGCCTCTTGATAGGCAGAGCCAGCTGCCACTCACGCAGCTGGGCGGATCCAGACATAATTGTCGGGATGCGCTTCAGCTGCGGCGTCTCAGTATACCGCGAGCAGTAGCTTGCGGTATACTGTGGCGTCTCAGTATACCGCGAGCTGTAGCTCGAGGTATACTGAGCTTAGGGTGACGGGAGGATGCTAGTTTGTGTCCTCCCGTTACCCTAAGGAGAACTATGGGGAAAAGCCTTAACCCTATAGTTCTCCTTTAATACACTTAGAAATGCAAAGAAATGAATGGGAATGTAGGGCGTATGCGCAGACCGACCAGGAAGATTCTTGACAAGTGGCCAGCTGATCTAGTCAGCGATATCTGACCGGTTAGTTTAGGATTACGAGGGGGGGGGGGATTATCCCAGGAGATAATAAGAGCAGGAGACAGGTGGTAGAAGTATCTCAGTCATTGCTGAATGTTATTAGGCTGCTCATTATTTTCTCAAAATTGGAAGAATCACAGAATACATTGAATTAGTGTTTCATTCCTATAGCACTTACCTGTCAACATGTGATGCTACTATACTTTTCACGGGGAAAGATTTGGGTCCTGCTGGAGGCTGGAATGTCTTTCCCCCTCTGACCACGGTTGCACTTTTGGGAAGTCTTTTCCCATAAGTATCATTGGAATGAGTTGGGTAAGGATCAAAAGTTCCTGCTTTCATGCCACCTGGCTGCCAATGACATAGAAAATAAAAATGTAATACATGACATATATACTAGACCAAGTTAGACCAGATGTGGCTTGGAAGAATGCTTGGGTTTTTCCATCATTAAGCCTTAGTTTGTCCCTCTTAGCGGTAGTAGGTTTATTTTGGGTTTTTCCAAAGCTTTGAATTCTGTATTTTGGCGCTTATGAACTCTGCAGTGATGTCAGTCTGTTCCCTCATAATTTCTGTGCAGCTGTTACTAGGCTTCCCATTATTGGTTTAGAATGGCACAGGGATGGCTTTTGCGTAAATACATCTTGTGTTATGTAGTATATTTGGTTTTTGTAGTTGTTCTCAAGCAATGACTTTACTCATCTTCACAGATGAACATTGCTAGTTTTTGTTTCAAAAATCTTTTGCTCTCTGTCCATGTGTTGGAGATATAGATCTGGCTGATCCAGGTGCGATTTTGCTTACAGATTGGACCAGTAATTCTGCTATACTTCCCTGTTTTGACTTTGTGAGAATAACACTTGAAGCAGCTAATCTACTATACTGTATATATCCTAGGTCATTTATTAACAGCCACCACTGACTGCATGTTGCCTATCAAAGTTTACTAGATAATCTGTCAGAAAATGTAACTAATTCCACAAGTAATTCAGAACAAATCAACATTTTGAAATTGGTCTTACCAGCATTTTGTGGGGGCCCATTCACACCACATCCTGATCATCTTCAGGCCAGACCAGATTTTTTCTGGACCCAAAATACATCTTAATGTATCCCTATGCTATTTCTGGCCTCTGTTCACACCAGCGCAGTCCATTCCAGACCAGAAAAATACTGCACGTCTCATTTTGTCTGGTCTGAAATGCACTGGAACTGCAGGCAGGTTCACACCATGGTCCGGAAAACGGTGTGAACCTGCCCTGAGAAGGGATGTAGGCCAAATTTGAGAAGCATCAAAAACTATTATTTGAATTTTGAACAAATAATGTGGCTACAATTCGGGTACAAAATGATCACCGATTGCTCACAGAATGGAAGATATCAAAGTTATTTTTCAGGTGTTATAATTATAAACAATCGTTTAGCATACAGAGCAATCATAGTCTAAAACATATGCTACTGTTCAAACCAAAATCAATTGTAAAGCTGGGCACACACCTTACAACCATCGCAAGACTTTTGTCTTGCGGTGGTTGTAAGGTAATTGAAAAAACGTACGATCTGCCTATCTTGGGCAGGCAGATCGTACTTGCGATGAAAGCAAGCCGCGCCTCGATGAGGGGCGGGCTTCCGATGACCGCAATGCCGAACGGGCAGTGTGCACTTGTGCACACCGGCCCGTCCGGCTTTTAATCTTACGAACATGCTATACACCTGCCGAACATCGTACGATGCTCGGCGGGTTTTCGAACATGTTCCTAAGAAAAAAGTTGTGCGACCTTACAGTAGTAGAGGTCGCACGGCTTCCACACACCTTACGATAATCGTACGATCGCGGGATTTCCCGCGATTATCATACGATTATCGCAAGGTGTGTGGGCAACTTAAAGAATGACCAATTACCCTGAGATCACCAATCATATAAAACAAACTATGCTGCATTTGGTTGATTACTTATAATCATTTCAATAAAGAATATTTGTCAAATCTTCCTTATCCCAAACTTGGGCCTGTCCTTGGCCAACTTAAGCATGCCTATGTGTAAAATCTTTCTTGTACATTTTGTAAATGCATCTCACTCTGACATCAAAAATAAACATTGCAGGACGACATCTTTATTTTACCTACTTCTTTAGCAGGTGAACTTGGCTTAAATACTTTCACAACTTCCTTTTTCTCTGTCTTTTTCTTCAGTGGTGGCAGAGGTTTATCAGACCGATAAGGATTTACATCGAAATAATCATTTGGGTAAAGGTTTAACCTGAACGCACCATCTTTTAGCTTTGATTTGTGGCTCTCGAACTCTCTCTGAAATAAAAAGCAAAGAGAACAGTTATGTATACATCACAGCTCAGAAGCCTACACAAAGAAACATATTAATTAAAGCCCATCTCCAGCCATTCTTTTAATATTTTTGCTTTTGGGTGTAGTAAGGGATGGTTAGAACTTCCCATAAGGTTTTAGTGACATGTCCCTATCATTGGGGTGGGCAATTAATTTTCTCATGGGGCCACAAGAGAAACTGGGACTGTTGTGGAGGGCTGAACTTAATTCTGCTCAATATTAAAGTGACATTAAACCCTCAGATTTTTTAACATAAACCAATACTGTAATGTGTGCCTTACTGTAATCAGCGGACTGGAGTGTCCAACGTTTTACTGATAGAAAAGACAAAAAAATACAGAAGCGCACTACCAAGTGGTGACTGAGCAAGGAAAGGTAAAGGAATAATGGAAAAAAGACTTACCAGGTTGTGGGTACTAGCGCGTTATCAGCGACGAAGTGTGGATAAATTGGGGGTCCAGGGTTGCTGGTGGTGGTGGGCAGGGTGATGTTGCAATAGTTGGTGCTGGGAGAGTGTGATGTCCAAGGGGATCTGTCAGCACAGTGGAGATGGAGGGAACCATGGAGATGGAGGGAACCCTCCATCTCCACTGTGCTGACAGACATTATTAAGGTTCACACACTCGGCTCCCAATTCACACGGTCCATTGAACCATCACACCTTATTGTGATGGTTACATTCTGCCAGTATGTAATTTTTTCCCCCCTCCCTGAAAGCATTCGTTCTGCATCAAGACGGCAGGTATACCTCTTCACACTTGCCGTCCTCCACGTCACCCCATCTCCGCCCCATTTCCCCGCCCCTCTCACAACTCCTCCCACCTCCTCACGTTCAAAAACCGGTCTTTCTCCCGCCATCCGTCCCCTTCACTCTGTGGCTTGAAAAAGAAGACACGCTCTTCGAAACGCGTAGCCAGCTTGATTACTTTCACCCACCAGCTGCAAAACAGAAGTTCTGCCCAGCATGAGAACAGATACAGATTTAAAAGGAAGAACAGCAAATAGAAGGGAAACTACCATGGATTACAGTAACGTACACATTACAGTATTGTTTTATGTTAAAAAATCTGAGGGTTTAATGTCACTTTAATTTTATCGCTTTCTAAAAAGCAGTAAATTATATGTAATCCAAAGTATGTAAAGCCACACTCAACAGCGAGGACCTCCATGTAAAAAAGTTTAATCCCAGGAATCTACAATGTTACAAGCATGACAAGATCCACAGGCCCATAGGTTGCACTTTACTATTTTGTTATAATTAGATCCATGAGGAATTTGAATAGCAAGAGTTAATAGGCTTTCTGCGGGGAGGGTATTGATTGCCCACACGTTTTGGAAACTGGTTAACCTTTGTATGTGTTCTTTTTTGGATTTTTTGCAGTCTCTATGTTTAAGCCTTTTTGGCGAAACATGTCAGAGCCTGTGGACCTTCTTATGCTTGTAACATTGTAGATTCCTGGGAATAAACTTTTTTACATCGAGGTCCTGGCTGTTGAGTGCTGCTTTTCATACATTGGATTACTGGTGACGGCTGTGGCATGCCTCTGCAAAATGCCTGCACCTGGCGTTTTGGATGGGACTGATGAGTTTGGGCATATGGATGTGAGCGGTGTCCTTTTCACAAATGTTTCCAGTAAATTATATGGTTTTGATAATGTGTTCATTAGAGTGCCCCTTTATATGGTTTGCCCCCTTTTGAGTACCACTTTATATTATTGTTCCAACATACCTTAGATTACTACTTTAGTAGTAGGAGAAAACTAGGGATGCACCTAAAGTTCGGCTGCCGAAACATAGCTGAAAATGGCACTTTGAGCAAAATACCGAACGTACCATTTTGTGGCCAAAATTGTGGTGCATCTCTCGTTTTTTTCCTCCCCGCTATATGTCCCCTCTGACGCAGTGCTCAGTGAGGAGGAGAGAAACTGTCAGGAAGCCAAAAGGGGCAGGGAGGAGAATGCTGAGAGTGTGTCACAGGAGGCCGAGCTCTCCTCCCGCACCGCCCCGCTCGGCCTCCCGTGACAGGCACATCAGGATGGAGAGTAGTGTGGGGGCGGAGACAGCTGTGAGCTGTCCCAGATGCCTGAGCCAGCAGTGTGGGGGAGGAGTCAGCTGTCAAAGGAGACCAAGCTCTCTCATCCTGCACCGCAACAATCAGCCGCCTGTGACAGATCAGGATGGAGAGCAGTGTGGGGGCGGAAACAGCTAAAAGCTGTCACAGGAGGCCACGCCGGTGGTGCAAGGGAGGACGCAGCTGTCAAATGCGACCGAGCTCTCCGCCCTGCACCGCCGGCTATGCCTCCTGTAACAGCAAGTCAGGATGGAGAGCGGTTACAAGCTGTCATCAATCAGTGATCGCTGAGTGTAAATATATTGAGGTTATAGTATGTTTACTGTGTCACCCAATTATGAATGAACAGGAGGTGCTCTACATCACCTCCTGTCCATTCATGATTGTGGACATGGTAAACATACTATCTCCACAGGTTATGAATGAACAGGATCACTCAGTATAGAAGATTCCTGTTCACGCATAACGGGGGCTGCAGCAAAAGACTCCTTTTTTTATTGTAAAAGGGAACGATCAGGAAAAAAAATTTCTCCTGTTTCAAAATTTCATTTTGGTGCACCTCTAGAGAAAACAGATGATACTCTTCCGTCCACCTGTAATGCTGGGGCAGGGAACACATTTGACGTCACTGGTTGCTAGGACCGCTGGCTATTCTAACAACCAGTGACCGCAGAAGAGATGGACATGTGATGTCATTGGTTGCTAGGATGGGAGGGGGGCCTGCGCTGAGCTATGGCTGGCAGTGAATGCACCGGTCAGCGCATCCACTGTCAGCCAGTTCCATCTGCACCACAGGGTGGGCAGGGACAGCCAAAGTGCTAGATGTGGCCCAGGGGCTGTAAAATGCACATACAAAAATATAAGGTACAGCAACCACCTGCTGAAGACAGTAGAATATTTGAAGAATGGCTGTGTAATAGTGAAAAATGGGATATCTCTGTTCGCCCCAATGAGTGATATGAAATTGAAGGCAAATAGGAAAATAAGGAAGCAGAGTCGACACCATTCTGTCCACCTTCACCGCTGATAGGAACGCACTACACTGCTCTGAGGAAACCAGAAAATGGACTGCACATACTCCCACATACAGATCCACTGCAGGACAAAGCATAAGTACTGAGACCAGAAATTATCTGCTTTATGACAACTAGAGAAACTTCCAGGATTTAACTTACCCGGCATGAATCTCTCCCTTTTTTGGCTAGCTAGAAAGACTCCCAGGATTTAATAATATCCAGTATGAATCAACTAGCAGCTCTTGGTAGTAGAATATACAATGAAGAAACAATATTAACTAAAATAATAAAGCAGAAGACACATCCATTCTCCTGAGGACACTAAGGGGTCTATTCACGAAGCTGCCGAGGGCAGCCGAGTGAATGACCGATCTGAAGTGAAGTGAGCCGAACACTGTTCGGCTATTTACTTCAGACTGGTACGGCTAATTTCAGCCGTACATCGGCTGAAATCAGCCGTACATCGGCTTGCTTCGTGTGGCTTCGGGTCGGCCGAACATGCTCAGCATGTTCGGCCGACCCGAAGTGCAGATGGAGAACAGCAGTGAGTGAATAGCCGAATGCCGCCGAGCTCCCTGATGGGGAACTGCAGCAGAGGGCGGGTACAATGCTAGTTTACTATTGGCTATTGCAAATTGAAAACTGGTAGATGTGATGTGGGCGGGGTTATGTCCTTAAAGTGGAAAGCTTTTCATTTTATTTTTCCTGGTGTCCCATTTTTCCTGGAGGCAGCAGCATAACCCTACTTCTCAGAATTCTTCATAGCTGTGTCCCTCAATGAATGACAGAGAAAGGGAAATGTTGTCATGTTATGGAGAAAATTTAGAAACGGTAATAGTGCCTAAGCAGTGCCATTAAAATGTACCTTTTGTCTGGAATTCCTCCTAAAAAATAGCATTGCTCTTCATGGTATGCGAGGGTGCTGAGCTATTACTATGCCTACGGCCTAAAAGCTACATATCTGCAGTATGAGTTTAAGGTATGCTGCCTCTGACCGAGATTTGAAGTGAGATTTGGAAATGCCACTGCTGTTTTGATCACTGTTTTTTGTTTGGCGTCTCCAACATGAGGAAGCAAACCCCTGCTTCTACCAAGATGGCCACCTCCACACAGAGACACAAAACAAGGTAAGTCAGTAATGAGGAAAAAAATCAGTTGCAGCGAGACCACAGGCAATACTGGTGACTAGTACTTTGCACTGTGACTGCCTTTTTTTGGCAACAGCTTCCAGAGTTCAGTTCCTCTTTAAGTGCAAAAGTCACAGATTATATCTAGAAATGTATAAAAAAAAAAAGTGCATCAAACCATTTCTACAAAGCAAAAACTACCATCACTGCTAGAGTTGGAATCTAGAAAAGAAAGCTAATAGGCTGATATTGTATAGCTCACAGCTCCTATAGACTATAGTGATATCCATGTACACAATTTTAGATTCTGCAGCAGCATGAAGTCTAGATCCCTTTTAAAAGTATGCATATGTCTCTTATAGGAATTGTTTTAGTGAATGGACAGCCTTTTGCTGGGAGCTCTGCTTTAAGGGTGTTCATAATTTAAAACCTGTCCTATAAGTTTACTGTTTTGGCTGCCAAAGGGTTTGTAGGTTTGGCTAACCATTCTTAGGATACACATGGATTCCGATAGTCAGTAAGATCACTTGGTTGCGTCCTAGTTTAGCATAAACAACTTCTGCTCCCTTTTCTCTAAATGAGGGCTTGTTCACATCATGTCCGGACCAGAACAGTTTGTTCCCGGACCAAAAAAGCATCCCAATGTATCCCTATGGTATCTCTGGGCTTTGTTCACACCAGCGCAGTCTGTTCCAGACCAGACAAAAAAAGAAAATACTGCTCATCTCAATTTCTCTGGTCTGGAACGCATCAAAAACACATGCAAATGCACTGGAACGCATCTGAAATTTTAAGCAAAAAAAACCCAAACTGTTCCGGAACTAGGTAAAATAGTGGCAAAAACGCAATGCACTGCGTTCCAGTTCTGGTCCGCAAAATGCTGTGAACCTGGTCTAAAGGTGATAATGCTGGTTGTGCAATGAGGAGGCTGAAGGTGTGGATATGACAAGTAGAATGTATTTCTTGAACAGGAGCTATATATCTGGCTGTGTAGTGCACCCTTTGGTCGGTAAAACATATACAAAGAACTCCAGGGAGTATACAATTTCTTTGGAAAATATGTACCTTCTTCACCACTGATGTGCAGATCGGGGAGTCTCATACCAACCCCCTTGAAGCAATAGCATTCTGCTATTGGGGTGCTGCTCTAGAGGCCAGGATTGTCTGGTACTACTCAGCTTTGTCAGCTCAGCTATGACTTGATGGAATAGCTTTTATTTGACAAAGATGCAATGCTCCAAATAGAAAAGACAAAAGAACAGGAGGAAGGTAACAGGTAAAGGAATGAACATAGTTAAATTTGTATGTCAGGATTAAACTAACCTTCATCAGGTCTCTTGATCTGTCAAATTCATCAGAAGCATACAGGAACGGTTTACCTATGGTGAGGTTTGCATATCTGTGGAGAGTCAATTACTAATGAAAATGCACAGTACAAATTGAAACCGGCAGTAAAACATGCAGGGCCTGATTACAACAAGATCAAATAGAGTAGTTATGTGTCCGATAGCCACATGAGATTCCCTGCTTTATCTTAGAGATTAAATTCAATTGCTATAGGAAACTGCTCCAGTTGTCTTTTATCCTGTCTTTGTTAATTGGCACCACTGTGTGTATTACCTTACCCATATCCTGTGCCGTGCTTGGAAGGGTTGGTATAGATGTTCTTCCCTGGCGCAGTATATGCCTTCCTGGGTTTTAATTCTGCACTAAAAGCTTGAACTGGACCACTTAATGTTCCATAAAAGCTACCCACGCCGGATCTAAAAAGAACCAAAACAAAACATTGTGCGATTATTAGATTATTTACATGCACGCTTACTAGGAAAACTATGATACAGACACAGAGACACAGCAAAACAATGTTCTGTTGGCTACAGAACACAATCACATCAAGTTGTGTTCTACATAAATGGTTTTTATTTGTCTTATTTATTTCGTTTGAGTTTCTTTGATATATCTACTTATTTTATTTGGTCTGTTAACATTCCTTCTTTTCCCTAACTTTGCATCATGTATGAATTTCTGCCGCTAGCGTTACAAATTGTGCCCATCTTTCACATATCATCCAAACTTTTAATAGGGCGTCTTTTGAAAAAAAAAATACAACCTGTAGAAGATTCTGCTTTCAATGTGTCTAATCCACATTGGATAAAACCGATGGAAGAATTTGACTGGATGGACCTGATAATTCAAATGCACAGATTTTGCCAAAATTCTTTCAGTCACAGCACCTTTTACAAATATGTAAAATCTTGAGCCACCCCCAGTCTAAAATGTAATGGATTTTAAAAGGGACCCCATGCAAAAAACACAAAAAGTGGGGTTCCCCCTTCACATTGAAATCCCACCTTCAAATCAGGAGCCCTTTTTCACAGCAGAATCCTCTCTTTCATGTACTCCTTTACATCAGGAAAAGCCCCTTTGCATTAGGAGCCCCCTCCTTTCACCTCAGGGTCACACACTAGGCGCTCCCGTTCAGATCAGAGCCCCCTCCTTTCACATGCGAGTCCCCCTTTCACATCACAAGCCACCCTCTTCACATTAGGAGATCTCATTACATCAGAAGCCCCCTCATCATCAGAAGCACCCTTTTTCACATCGCAGTTCCTCTTTCACATCAGGAGCCACCTTAACCCACTGTCCTACCCTCACATCAGGAGCCATAGTTGAGGCAGCATGGCAGAGGGTGGAAGGCAAATGTTCATCCTTTTCTGAATGTATCCCACCCTCCCTGGATTAGCAGCATTCGCTTCTCCGGTGCTAGCACGCGGCCTACCCACATCATGGAAAGGTCACATGTTGTGTGAAAATTTCGAGGCATCCTGGTTGACAAAGGCTGATCTACAGTGTTGGACTTACGGCTTTTTTTCCCCATTCGATGGGAGGAATGATTTTCCCAAGTTCTTCTTGGCCTGCTGAATACGATACTGCCTTCTTTGTTTCAGTGGATCTGAATAGGCTTCACCTTCAAATGTCCGTTTGAACTGAGCATCAAAGTATCCTCCTAAGGTATTAGCCATCGTCTTGGAGCCACCAGGAAACATTTGCCTGTTTTTACTTGCTGCTTCATTAAATGGCTCTGGAATAACACACACACAACATGCATTGGTTCTGCACATGAATACTTATAACACAGCACGACCTTACATTGCTGGTCAGAGGGTAAAAGGGATGTGTAGATCTTGTCTGTGAGCGCAATAACAAATAAAAATGCTTTTTCATCCACAGAGTAGGGAAAGCTTGAACCCCTGTCAGATTTTTATTGCTGACGGTTTCCCAACTGTAGATTTTCTCTTTACTTCCTCCGTGACAATAAGGGGAAAACGCTCTAACAGAGTCCCAGGTAGCCATAAAATCCCAGCAGGGGTTCTATCCCTTCCCAACTATCAAAACCTAAAGAAAAGTCTGAGCTGGAGATTCACTTTACAGGGTTTATACACTGTACATTTTATTGTATGCATATGATATTCATTTCCTTCTTCAAGAATCCATCATTAAACTGCTTTCTACTTATCTTTGATCTGATGAGGAATCATTGCTGCAAAATACTTACTAGAGCCGGGAGTGATATATTTGTCCCCAATACTGATGTAGCCCATCTCACGGAATAGACCAATTCGATCCATATCGGATTTTCCCTCTGACGTCATTGTTGCACAATGTAGATATGACACACTTTGCTGTGAACTAAAGTGGAAAAAATACATTTTTAAAAAACCTGGAAGAAACCATTCAATTATATGTTGTCACCACCACGCGAGAAATCAGTGAAAGTACTATGTGTGTAAACACAGGAATTATTTATTAGGCACTAGAGGATTATGCATTATTGACACTAACTAACCAGTGTAGGTGTCATCGCGTAACGAGAGCATGCCGAGGTATCTACATAATGTCAGTTTAAGTTTTATGTCCAATGATAAACTGCTGAGAGTTGCCAACTTATAGCAGAATTCCAGGCAAATGTTAGAAAATACCATTAAATCCAGTTATGTATTCATTACAAAAATCATGACTACAGCTAGTATAAGAACCTAAATTAGTTCATATTACCAGTCTCTAAAGAAGCACTCAGACTAAGGGAAGGAAGGTCAACAATCTGACCCAGTCTATTGCATTGCACAGTGCTGTTATTTATGCTAAAAGGCTAATTCCACCTAAACACCATGTTCCATGTTCCACCCATATTAGGGCTTATTCAGATGGGTGTACATGTGTATACAGGATGCGTGTCCGCAAAATGACCCGATCCTAGAAGTGCTGCAATTACACGACATGGTCACATCACACGCACATCCATGAGGGTCCGGGTGCCCACACTTGGATGCACACTGTTTGTGTCCAAGTTCGGTCAACCAGACCCGCACAGATGTGAGTGTGACCATGTGTAATTGCGTGCATCTGCGTCCTATCATAGGGAAGAACAGGCTGCTGCGTGCAATTACATGCAGCACCTGTCCCTTCCAGGATCAGGTCATTTTACATTTTTCTGAATGAGCCCTTAGGATGTACCATGGATGAGGTTGCCATTCTGCAGTCCCCCCCACTTACCTGAATCATGGGTGTGTGGCATGCCTATGCGGATCTATTCAATTTTGTCTGGCACTGTGACAGCGGGACTTGTACTTCTCACGCTGGCTCTAAGCATCAGGGAGAATATATTTTACTCTGCCAATACTTCTCCATTACCTTTTTTTCTTCTTTCTCAACCAGGGTCCCTCTAGAGCCATGGTTCTCAACCGGTGATTTGCAAACCAAAAGTGGGTCATAACCCTATGTTCAGTGGGTCGCCGCATGCCTTCCACTGCAATAGGGGAAGAGGCTCCTCAGCCTACCCCTAGCCCAGTACTGTCAGTTCTCACGCCAAGCAGCCTCTCAAAATATGCTGCCTGGTGCCGAGTGTCAGCTTGAGGTGGAGTAGGCTGGTGGTATGGTCGCGAGGGAACTCCATCCATACATGCATTGCTTGCAGCTCCCTCGTGTGTCCTGTATGGTGCCTGGACCGGAGTGACGTCTCATGCTGGCAGCTGGCACATCTACATGGGTGCAAGGGAGCTGTACAAGCAATGCACATATGGATGGAGCTCCGTCACAGCACAGCAGCCCACATTGGACCCCAGGATGAGGATCGACTCTAGTTCTCGTAAGGTAGGCAGACTAGGTGCATCTTAAAAAAAAAAAGGAAAAAACAAATTAAAATGTTTTTGGAGTGTGTATGTGAGAGAATGTCTGAGTGTGTGAGATTGTGTCTGTGGTTGTGTGTCTGTCAGTGTTTTTGAGGACACATTCCCACTAGTACAGTGTGTTATCACATAGTTCTGTGCGATTAATGCACTATACCACGCAATCGCACCTACCACATATTCTGGTGTGAGAGGAGTGTTGCATTGCCATTCATTTGAATGGCACCCCAAACGCACCTCCACCCCACAGTTTGATCGCCGGCACTGGAACGCGTATTACTGCAATGCCTTGGGTCGTGACTAAATAGCAATTTCGGACTTTCGGATAAGTAATCACCAATGCAGGTCTGCCATCTTCTTCCCCTCGCCAGCAGTACAGACCCACCTATCCCTTCACTACTTCACCGTTCAGCTGGCAGAAGTGAAGAAAATACCAGGTACTTCCAGGTATAGAGGAACATGTGACTCACTCTACTTCCTCTCAAGTGACAGTGCTGATGGTTTGTGATTGGCCTAGCTTTGTCACCTGGGGGCGGTGAGAGAGTCCTCAGCCCTGTGTAAGCTCTAACTAGAGAGACTCGGAGCTTACACAGAACTCAGTTTCCTTATTCCCAGTGGCTGAATGGAGCAGTGGGGGAGTGAAGGTAACGCAAACATACATACAAGTGTATATATAGCTGAAATGTTCTTGTTTATATTTGGATAGAGTAGGGAAAGGTTAACGCTCTAACAGAGTCCCAGGTAGCCATAAAATCCCAGCAGGGGTTCTATCCCTTCCCAACTATCAAAATCTAAAGAAAAGTCTGAGCTGGAGATTCACTTTACAGGGTTTATACACTGTACGTTTTATTGTATGCATATGATATTCATTTCCTTCTGCGCTCTGTTACATACCATGGGGAAAAGATCCCTCCACTTCCTGTCCCTGAGATGCAAAAGGAAGTTAAAGAGCAACTCCAGTGAAAACATATGAACCCTTGCAGTGGGACTACCACAAGCAAGGGTTATCTGCTCGTTTTTGCCCAGAGTAAAAAATAACAAAGATATACACACCTGAACCTCCGAGCCGACCGGCTATCACAGCGCTCCCTCCAGCCTGTCTCCTCCTCCACCCCAGAGATGGTATGTCTCTCGGCGTCCTCACATCCAATACAGTGTGTTGGATGTGCTGACTCGAGGATCCTTAGACTGCTGCAGTGGAGGGGGAGAGAGGCACTAGGGACCGGTCTAAGAGCCGGCCAGCTCAAATGTTTAGGCGAGCATACCTTTTTCTTTTATCCTAGGCAAAAACGAACACTTAACCCTTGCAGTGCTTTTAAAGAAGTGAGGGGAATTCCCTTTGTAGACAGCCGCCCCTTGATCGGGTGTCCCCATTGGAAGATTTCCCCTTACCGCTTGTTCCTGGGACAACACTAACATTTTGGATTTCCACTCACTTTCTTTCTCAGTGACAACAGTCAGCAGGACAAAGGGATGAATCTCCCCAATGGAGACACCTTCCCTACTCTATCCAGAATTTAGAAGAAGGCTTTGCATAGACTTTAAAGTGAACCTGATACATCTTCCTGCATGGGCAAAGCTCAGGTTTGTTTGAAATGTGGCTAACAAAGGCTGTCCCAAGCTGGCATGGCAGGTTACTGCTGTAGTGATCTATTAGGAATCACTATAACCATTATAAGAATGATAAATTGTATCAGCCCTGATGTGAGACAATATATGTGATGGTGCAGTGTTCAGTGATTTCTTCTTTTTATTTGGACTTTTCTCACAATGCTGCTTGGCCTGAAGAAGAAGGCAGATCATTAAAAGTCCAGAGAGTCCAACTGCTATAGTAATCCCTGAATACTGCTGTAGTCAGCTTTGTCTCAATGACAGAGGGGGTCAGGCTGTGCCCTCTGTATGTGATTCCCCACCCAATATATCCCTGCCCCCCAACACTGACACTACCTGCTGCCTCTGGCTCCCTCTTCAGGTGTGCTCTCTCCGCTCTTTGCTGTTAGCTGTGGTTGCCATGTAAACGGAACCGCTAATTTTATAGTGAGAGCTTCTTACACATAATCGGAATGTCAAAACTAACCGAACGTTTCTTATTCTAAACAAGACTTGGAACAATCACAGTACGATTTATTGAAACTGTCTCTGTAGATCTGTAATGTATCCTAAGCGACTCCAGTGATAAAATGGCAAACGAGAATGTATAACCCCCTTGTTGGTCGAACTTGGTGGCGTCCCTCTGTGGTTGGCTTCTACGAGAGCAGTGCATGCCGGGATTTGTAGTTTCACGCTCTCTTGTGGTAAAGTTGTCAGTAGTTGGGAGGAGCTAGGGAAAGTTCAACCAATCAAACGATCGATAGTCACCTCTGGGCCGGGTAGGTGACACGTGCTATGTGTGGAGTTTATCTGATTGGAGGAAGAAGGAGGAAGCGGTGTGTGCAGAACAGCTGCTGGTTTGTATAGCGGAGAACAGTGACAAACATGGTGAGTTATATCGCCACTGAAAAAAAACCTGGAGATCGGCATTACTCCCTTCTCATTCTGCACAGGATAGCTGCCTGGCTGTCACACCGACCCACTGGCTTCAATGGTCCGGAGTCAATAACCAGCGGGCAGAAAGAACTGCTGATTTGGGGGGCTCCAGTCATACTAATGAGGGGGGTTATTTTCATCCCACCAGTACTCGTGGTATTCCTAAAATATATATAGGGTTCAGCTTTAACCCCAACAAGTGGGGAGTGGGGGAGTTCACTCTGCATTCCACAGGCACTAACCAGGGGGGCACTCTTCCTTCCACTAGCAGTGAGAGGGGGCATTCTTAATCCCACCAACAATAACATTCATCCCATTGACACCATGGAGATGGGGCATCCCTACAGTGACATTAAAGGCATTTTAAATGTTGAGGCATGCTCTGCTGCTTGCTAACAGTAGATATTTGTAAAAAAAAACGAGCCTTTAATGCCACTTTATTTTCACTGGCACCAACAAGGGGGTGCCAGTTCATATCACTAGCACCAAATGAGCACTTTTCGCCCCAATGATACCAATGACGGAGGTACTCCACTGACATCGTTGGGGGGACACTCTTGATCCAACTGACATCAACAACAGGGGGCACTCTTCATCCCACTGACACCAGTGGTGGGGGAATTCTTCAATGTACTGACACCAACGATGGGCAGCACTCTTCATCTGACTGACACTAACCAGGGGGTACCTTTCATTCCACTGACACCAACAAGGTAGGGCACTCTTTATTCTATTGGCACCAACTGGGGAGGGGGGGGTGCTCTTAGATTCCAATGACTCTAAGTGAGGGGGCGCTTTTCATTCTAGTGATAGCAATGCGGGGGTAAACTGCATACCTCTGACACCAACAGTTGACGGTATGCCTAAACGCTGCACATTACATACTCTTGCCACACCTCTTAATTGAATTAACCACACCCACTTTTCACCTTTATTACTCTATAAAAGTTTGACCTGGGTTTACATCTCTACTAACATTTTCAGCAGGAGAATCTTTTAAACTCTACATTCTTTTAGATTGATTTGACTGATCGCCTGAACATAAAATTACACATGATCATACACCGGTGGTCAAAATTCCCTTCTGTCATTCTAACCTTACTTTTGTTACTACACAACTGAGTCTGACTATGTTCTTGTTCATTCTTCCCGGTTCCATAACATTACTACTGTATAGCTGAGTGAAAGTGGCCTTTCTTGTTGCCTCATGTTTAAGCGTTGAAGCAATAAAGAACTTTCTTCTGTAATTATTCAGGTTGTTTCTGAAGCTCCAGAAATCATTTTTAGAACGAGAGGTGGTCTCAGTGTATCATTTGACTCGCCAGCAGCTGATGGTATGTATAACCTAAAACTTCAGTTGAAAACACTAATTTGAGGGTTTCCACTTTGTGCATCACGTGTATATCCTACCTTGTTTTTTTTTAGCGGCAGCCATCCTCCATCTGTACAGCATGATAACCTTCCTCCATCGGAAATTGCTGTAATAATAATCACTCACCTGATGGATTACTAGAGGAAAAAATATAGGATGCTCTGCTTCCTGCTTTAGTTCTGATTCCTGTGATTGGACAATGAAGGAGCAGCAGTATGCTCATGAATTCATCCAAGTGGTCTCTCCTACTGGATGCCTTGAGAACACTGAGCAAAAAGCATTTGAGTATTGACTGAATGTGGGTTAGAAACGCTTCCCAGATTGTTTGTTATTGTTCCCGCTGTAATAAACTATAGCTAGATCCAACTTCTCCCCTCCATAGAAGAGGATTTTTATCTAAGATGAGTTTACAGGTCAGCAGAGTACTGTGCATGCCTTGAGGGTAGTCAGATTGGCCGGGACTAAAGTCTACGTGCAGGTTGAGTGTTTATGTTAGTGAGGTGAGGGCAGGAACTTATCATGGGATAAGCAATGTCAGTGTGACAAAAATATCCAGCACTGCTGATCTGATTTTTCCCCACAACATCTTTCGATAGTGGTGTCTGGTGAAGTATGATGTCATTGGTATGTTGCTCAATCTGACTATAATAGTCCAGATCAGGATTATTCCCATAAACCTTGGCAGGCGGGTGGATATGCAGACATACTCTGATTAACCACAGGGCAGCTATTTTTCTAAGTGTCGCAGAACGATTCATAAAGTTGCAAGCTTGGCTCAAGTGACCTCGCAGATTTTGGTCAGTGGAGGAGGGAGGAAAAGGAGATGAGGGTCCAAGTAGAAGTTGCTGGTTCTGCTGGTCTTGTCAGAGAAGACTAGAGGTTGGGTCAATTTTGTAATCTGCATAATCAATGTTCCTCCTAGATCAGTCGTCTGTAGTATAGATATGAGATAATCACCAACACTGGCTGAAAATGGTCAGATCAGTTGACTGTCATCTCATGTCTACAGGCTGCTCGGTCAACCACGTAGTTTTGCTGTCCACATTTCTGTGATCCCACCAGGAGCAAGTACGGAGCAGATAAGACCAGCAAGATGACTGTGTTAGTATTCTAGCTTCTGAGACCCAATCTAAGAACTTTTTCTATATGTGCAGGATAAACAATCTTATTTAGTGGCTTTTCTATATACAATTTTTGGTAAAAGTACCTACAGCTTGTCATCCTTACAAACAATAAAGGAATCAATCTAAGAAATATTCTATCGGAGGCTAGTGACCTCCCTTTAGCATTATACTGAGAGCATCACAAAGTGCACCCCAAGTATCTCTTGTGGCAGAAACATATTCATTCAATCGAACTTTCCCTCATTCTTTCTCATCCCTTTAGAAGTATACACATACTTCTTTCTATCATTCACTCTATGGAGAAGCATGCTGTTTTATTAGATTTTCTCATCTGTAAGTTAATTATTGTGTTCATTTGTTATCTTGTGTTAATATAGATTCATCCTGCAAGAAGGCACTTGTGCAAGAATTGAACAGTCTTTCTGAAAAACTTCAGTCGGAGTCCCTGGTGCTTAGTGTCAGACACAGTTCATTGTATATATGGCCCAACGCTGGGGGCAGCACGTCACCCTCCGCTCTGACAGACGAGTCCCCCTGCAAAGACATCTTGAATTTTATCCAGTAAGAAATGGAGAATAACTTTTTTTTTGGAGGATGTATACTGTTTTATCATTCTAAATGTATTCTCTTCTTCTCTACTCTTCTCAGGTCTGATGATGATGATACTAGGCACAAAAACTCTAAAAGGAAGGAGAAAAAGCAACAAAAAATGGTATGCCGTTTAGTTAATTTACTGCCGAAGCAGAATGTGGGAGCTGCTCCATAAGTTTGTTACTCACACATATGGGAATGATAAAATTATTATTTTTCATAGCACTTAATCCTGCTGCCTGCAAATGAATCAGACTAAACTGTGACTATCATTTTAAAGGGAACCTGTAGCGAGATAAATATGTAGGCTACCGTTATTGATGTCTTTATAACATTACTAGTCATTGACCCAGAACAAACATGCAACAAGTGAACTCAGGACAAAGTCAGAACTCCTGACCTGCATACTTTTTCTGGGTCATCGACTCATCAGGTGCTAAAGCTAATTGATCAGCATGACAGCCAGACAACTAGTATTTTGTAGAGGAAGTCAACAATGGCAGACGCCATGTTTTTTTTTCTGCTCCACTTTTATTTTGATGGAAAGCAGAATACATACATTTGCATATGTGTGTGAAACCACACCGTCACGTCACGTAGCTGTTAAGGAGTGTCTGTAAGCAATACAATAATACATGGACATCCCTTAACTGGGACATCTATATAGCAATTAATAAATTTAGAGCAAACTTAAAGGACAATTAAACCCTCTTGTTTTGGTTTTTTTGCATATACTGTATCTATTGCTAGCAAGCAGTCGAAATATGCAGAAACATTTTTAAAAAAGTTAACTAAAAGGTTAAAACTTACCTGTGTCTCCGCCGCACGCTCCCGTCCGAAGATCTGAAGAGTTTTGGGCGGGCGCATGCGCAGTAGGGATGTTCAGCCGGGAGAGGAGGGGAGACACAGGGTAAGTCAATGCAGGCAGTCTGCCCCCGCACATACTTCGTGGGACAGGAAGAGAGAGGAGTCAGCGCTGGATCAAAGATGGGCACCAAAACTACTGGAAAGAAGATGATAGGCCCTGCTGGCTGTCAAAATACCTGAACACTCTGATTGGATGCAGGCATTGTTCAGTTATTGTGAGAGCCAGTGGGGCCGGCTAGCGAGATACTGAAGCTTGGCCCAGTGGGAGATTCCTCCATCCACACAGTTTAGTGTAGATGGAGGAATCTGTTGCACTTTTTCCATCTGACCACAGAAAATCTGCAGATAATCAATAGTTGTGTGCCCAGCTTAACTTTGGGTATGCCTTAAAGGTACCTTTTAGACCTTAACGTACATGCCAAGCCAAATCATCATCTTATTTTCCTATTTCCTCCCCTTTTTGTTCTGTTAAATATATAATTGAAAGAGTTTGTTTATATTTGTTCATTAAGTTTAAACAAACACCTGTTAATCCTGCCAGAAATCCAGTGATGTGACGTGTCCTGTGCATTCTGCATTCTTTGCTCAAACAACATAATCAGGAAGTACTGTATTTATGAAGAAGCAATGTTGCCACCCTATGACATGATTAAAGAACATCTAGTATGTTGGGGAGAAGAGGAAAGGTGGAGGTGTTTTGTAGTCCTGTTCTAGGGCTGCGGGGCCGCCGGCACCTGTCAGAATACCCGATCAGAGCGGGCAGCTCATTTGCTGCCGGCTCTGATCATAAGAACATTTTCCAGCTGGCTCCTTCGATCAGCTGAAAGGGAGCCGACAGCCCCATACACTGGCCGAATTTCGGCCCGTATATTAAAAACCAGCCGAAATGTGGCCAGTGTATGGGCACCTTTACTGTGGGCATGCTCATAGAAGGAGACAGCAGAGTGCCAAAGAGATAAGCTCATCAGTCTGCCACGTCTCCTTTCACTATCCAGCTGTACAGCTTGTCTAACTGCAGCAAAGTAAAATTAGGTCTCCTGCCCTGCCAGGCAGGGTCGCACTGAGTGGCAAAGCTGTGTAAATCTCAGAATAGGATTGACAAATACAAATCGGCTAGCAGGTAAAATCACTCCTATATATGCATTTCACTTTGTATTAAGCTCTGCCTGGAATTCAGCTTTAAAAAATGTCTGTTTTAGCCTCACAGAAACGAAAAGGCTCCAAACCTGCCTTGGAAAACAGCGTAAGGATGAAAGCTTAAATTGGATTGGTTGTTTTGGGACAATGCAGACAGTTCTTCAAGAAGGCGTCATAGATATTGAGACAAAAACCTGTAAAGGGTTTAGCATCAGGCCCGGCACTAGCGCAAGGCAAGTAGGGCAGGCGCCTTACGGCGCTGCAGGGTGAGGGCGGAAAAAACAGGGCATTTTGACAAGATTAGCATTAATACTGAACCTTCGTTAAAATGATTGTGCTTTTATTTAAATAGTCAGCCCCGGAGTAGACACCCATGATGAAGCCAGACATATAATACACATACGTCCTTTCATTGCAGAAATCCCCATTCCAACTATCCCGCCTTTGCCAGCTCCGTGCAGTACTTCTCCTTTATTTATCACAGACCTAAAGCTCTACGTTGAGTGAGCACACAGCCACCTATTGTGGCAAGTCCATCTCACCACTGGAGTGGCAAAGAAATATGAAAGCCATGTTTAAACCAATGTTTAACTGAAACAGCACTTTGAGTGGACCGATACTTATAAATATGAATATTCCAATGTACTGTATATGTATTAATGCTGTTTTTTTTTTCCTATTTGTTTACAGCAGGAGGTTGTGAATCTCCACATCATGTTTGAGCTGTCTACCTCCTCTAAAGCTGAAACTCCACTAATAACGTACAACAAGCAGAGTCATCATCGTGTGAGCTTGACATTGCCCATTGACACAGCTAGATCTGTTTCTGCAGAAGACAAATGGGGGAGGTCTGTGTTCAACAGATTCTTTCTCTTTTTTTGCTATTACAATGAATGAATTGTTATCATAGTTTGGACAGTTGTGTCTCTTCATAGAGAAAAGCTGATGGCAAGATTTACAACTGATAAGAGGGTCATCCCACATGAACTGAGCGGTAGATACCATGTTAGGTGAGGGAGGGATGGTGTGTTTGTTCATACAAGAATGATCCACAGCCCTCAGGACTGAGTCTGATTGTTGGCTGCTTTCATATACCTAGGATGCTCACTTTCTGTGTAAGTATGAAGGCAAATAAGTTTGTCCAAGGCCGAGCTCAGCTGTAAGATGGCGTCCTATAACATAATAATTTTATACAGGCAATGTGATGCATTTGTACACAGAAAGCTGAGGAAGACCCAATGACCCGGTCCAACAGCTGTGTCTGGTTGCATATGACTTGCACTAGGTGTGATCTACTGTAGTTGTTTTGATATTCCTTTTTTGATAGCTGCTACATTATAGTAGGTCGGTTTGTGTGACAGTGCCTTTTTCTGATGTTTGGTCATTATGCAATATACTATGAAGGGAATTTATCAAAACCTGGAGCAGGCAAAATCTGGAGCAGCTGTGCACTGCAACCAATCAGCATTCACCTTTCATTTTCAAAGCTTGACTGAAGAGAGAAGCTGATTGGTTGCCATGGGCAACTGCTCCAGATTTTGTCTGCTCCACTTTTGATAAATTCCCCCCTATGTGTCCTTACAACTGCTTTTTCAATGTTATTTTCCTTTTGAACAGTGTTCGTGGGATTCTAGTGAAAGCGCTCAAACAACAGCTGTCTGACATGCAGAGGTGCATGCTGAAATATATGAAAGGAACTTCAATTTGTTTGGCAGAACCATTCCACTTCATGTTACCAGAAAGTAATTGCCTTCTGACGGTGGTTTATCCAGCAGGAGTAGCAGAGTCCCAACTGGAGGACAACAGAAAGGTATTATGTGTACCAGGTGACAGTTGTCCAGCAGAATAGGAGACAAAGTGACAGAACAATCTCTTAAAAAAGGGTGCAGTTAGGATTTAAAGCAACTCAAAAACTAAACACTCTACTCTTCTTCTGGCCACACCACTAAGATACTAATGTACTGTACTAATGTGTGAATATCTGCAGATTCTTCAACTTCCAGGGGTCACTGGTCCTCCACTGTGTTCATTGGTTTGGCCAGGCGGCCGCCCATGTCAAATATTGTGTCCTCTAGTGATGTAAGGGTCAGCAAAAGGAACCACAGTGCACTAGGACCATGAAATTGACACTCCAGGAAGTGTCGGATTCTGCAGGATCTTAAAGGAGAACTATGAGATGAGTGATTTCCACTCACCTCATAGTTCTAAGCCGACCTGTGACAATGAGACTGTCACAGGTCGGCTCAGTAGATCGGGAGGTGAGCGAACACATACCGGGTTCCATCACCTCTCGATCCTGTCACGCCTCTCTGCCGTGACAGGGGGAGGGGCTGGATTCCCCTCTCCCCGCTCCGATCTGCCAGCGCTGACTGGCGGAACGGACGGGGGAGGGGGCGGGTACAGCTGGCTCTGCCTCTAGATAGGCAGAGCCAGCTGTCACTCACGCAGCTGGGCGGATCCAGTCATCTAAGTCGGGATCCGCTCCAGGTGCGGCGTCTCAGTATACCGCGAGCTGTAGCTCGCGGTATACTGAGCTTAGGGTAACGGGAGGACGCTAGTTTGTGTCCTCCCGTTACCCTAAGGAGAACTATGGGGAAAAACACTGACCCCATAGTTCTCCTTTAAGGCCTAAGTATCTTTTCCCTGCTGCAGACAGCATGGGAAGAAGGAGAATTGAGTATTCAATGTTTTCTTTGTATGGGGGAGACTTTATATTAGCAACAGTGTTGCATCAATTATGTTCTCCAATGGTAAAACAAGGCACCCAGTGACTACAAACACTCTGTACCCATTACATTCAATGCCCAAGTATACTTTTTTTTAATCTGAGCTGTATCATAACTATCCTAAACATAAGCACTGGTTGATTGGCCAAAATCCAGAAGGGTGTCACAAAGCTTGTTTGAGACAACAAGGTCTTTGATGATCAGTCCATATACTTTGCAGGATACTACAACAATGGAGTAGTATACCTCATAAGTAAATGTGAAAGTAGAAATAAAGCCTGATGACCAGCATACAGTCTTTGCAATGTTTCGTTTATATCTTTTACCAGATGTTGCACACAGAATACAAACTTCCATTGGATAGACCATACTTTAGAAAAGCCAATGCCTATCATTTCCCCGATGACGTGTACAAGGATGGGTATCTCCGGAATCCACATTTATATCTTAATCATCCTTCTATAGAGGGAGGCACAGTAAGTGTATACACCTTTTGTGTGTACTTTATTGTTTTGTTTTTTTATTTAACTGTTTATATAGTTTTTGTCTTGTCCATCTGTAGCAATACTTATGAATCAATAAAACAAGGGGCATTTTTATAGATTCAAGTTATTCCATGAAAATGAAAGATTTCCAGTAAAGTAAGTTGTTGCTTGTTAAGAGTTTGTCCGTGGGAGGGGGGGCTAAGGTGGAAATTGACTTGACTGGTACTTCATGCAGCTGTTCTTAAACTGCAGCATGCAGGACATTATCAAACACATTACTGGAACAAGAATTAATTATTAAAGCAGCTTGGTGTTGCACAATGCAGCATATTGCATTGAGCCCTTGTGCTGCCCAATTTCCAGCCAGTGTCAACCAACTTTCAATAGCAATAATGTCTAAACAAATCAAGAGACTTATCGCCAACGCTTTTGCCAATTTCACAGTTTGAATAGAAACTGATGGTGGTAGGCCGTTTTGATCCTTTTGGTTGCTTCTGCTATTGAAATTGGTTGAAATAGCCTACAAATGCCAAAGGGTATGGTCAGCATCAGCTTGTCTAAGTGCTGTAAACCACAAAACTGTGTGGCTTCCTTCATCATCCTTCATAAATCATTTCTTTTTTCTTTGTTTAATTAGTAATGACACTTAAATACATGTTGTCATAAGAATGCTGTCCTTGATTGTGCTCAACTAATTTACTATTGACTATTAGTCCGTGTAATGCAGTAATCAATTAAAGACCTAAAGTAACAAACCCTATACTGTTGCATATTTTTTCTTTGAAATCTCATGTACAGCACACTTTACATGCAGCAGTAAAACCTATTAATGCTGTTTTCTTTGTAGGTCTCCTTGGTTCAAGGAATATACAGTTACCATCACTACATGCAAGATCACATGGATGACAGTGGTTGGGGCTGTGCCTACCGCTCTCTACAGACCATCTGCTCCTGGTTTATTTACCAAGGTTACACAGACAAGCCTATTCCGACACACAGGGAGATTCAGCAGGTTAGCATTTATATGACTACAGAGCATCATCTAAAGTTGGAAGTTGATATTACACATTAGGGTTATTCTGACTTAATGTTGCAGATGTGGTAGTTGTTGCATTAAACATTTCTATAAGTAGGAGTTAAGCATATGCATGTATTGATCACTGAAATCCAGCTGATGTTGTTGGGTGTATTTTACAGAAAAACTAAGAAAACTGGCAAGTTACTTATTCACACACCAAACAGACCAATTTACACCTCTTCATCTCACATGGAAACAATCACTAGATCTAGAGTTCTAGGCAATGATATTCAACCTTTATTTCTGTAAGGATTGGTCTTGGGCCTTCCCCTCCTGCTATCCAGAAAACTCAGGAATTGAAGATATATCTGGCAGGTTTAATATTGAGAAGTGTAAGGTTTCACATTTTGGAATTAAAAATACACATGCAAGCTACTCAATAATGGGCGTTCCACTGGGGGAATCAGAGGTGGAAAAATATTTGGGAGTCCTAGTAGTCAGCCGCCTTAGTAGCAGCATGCAATGCCGGCCAGCAGCACATAAGGTGAGCAGGGTTCTATCATGCATAAAAAAGGGAATGTCTTTTAAATAGAAATCCATAATTCTCCCCCTGTACAAAACATTGGTTGGGCCACATCTTGAATATGCGGTTCCATGAGCTGGAGATTGTCCAGGGAAGTCCAACAAAGCTAATAAAGTGCTTAGAGGACCTAAACTATGAGGAAAGACTGCATGCAATAAACTTGTTCGCTCTTGAAAAGAGGAGACTGAGAGGGGACATGATCTTAATGTACAAATTGTTTGATGGTGATGGTATAATCGGTAATAAACTGTTTACTACTCAAGAAGAAGAGGCCACCATCTGAAACTGGAAGAGAAAAGTGCTCCTGTCCATTCATAACTTGTGGAGATTGGGCATTTTTCAGGCATATGACTGGATGTATAAAACAAACACTGGTTCACTTCAATACACTTTAATAACTGTCTCTATAGCGTATATCAGAAGGAGGGGGGCAATATGAGCAGACTTTCTGCTGTGTAAAAACAGACATATGTGCATGTGTAGTGTTTGCTTTAGTCATTCAAATGTATGTAAACCCTAAATTTGATCTGCTCTTACTTGCTCCCTTTTAGTCTGTTAAATTGAAATTGAAAGTATTTTGCTATATCTGTTCAATAATGCAAAAAAAACCATTAATTATGTCATAAATCCAGAAGTGAAGTGCTGGGTATGCCAACTTTGTAATCGCAGGGAGTCTGATTTGCCCTCCCAGTTCTCATCTTGGACTACAGAACAATATGTTGTGGACACCATTTAGTCTACAGAAATATGTGTGTTGTCACCCAAACAACAAGAAATTAGTAAATAGTATATGTATGTATTGCAGATATGTACGTCATGTGTTTTTGTTTTGTTTTATTGTTTTTGCCCTGACCTATACTTTCATACTTTTGAAGGCTCTGGTGGATGTTGGAGATAAAGCTGCAGCGTTTGCTGGATCTAGGCAGTGGATTGGCTCCATAGAGGTTCAGCTCGTACTCAACCAGCTGTTTGGCATTACATCAAAAATTATGTTTGTTAGGTGAGCAGTAGAAACCACCTTTTAATGAGCTAGTATGGGAGAATGGGACGTGTTTGTGTAGTCCTGTGAAGTAGTTATATCCCGGCTGTCATTTTTCTAGGGCAGACTAAAAACAAAAGGAAATAAATTGGCACTATAAGCAATCCAGACAACTTGCCAGATGAGGGTGAATGTATTTATTTTAGTCATTTACAATATACAAAGAGATTCTTCTGCGCTTAGAAGAGAATGTAAACCAGTCTCATCAGTCCCCAGCAGTAATAGCTCTCACATTGTCACAATTGCACATATTATCACGAGCATCACTTTAAAAGAAAGACTCTGTGTGATACAATGCACCCTCTTCACACCCAGTTCAAGCCAGACATCTTCGAGTTGACACCAGTAAATTCACTCATCCATGTTTTAAAGTAAAACCTAATTATCTGTCTATATCTTTTCAGTAGTTTTCTAGTTGGAGTAGATAAGCAGTCTCTACTCAAGCTTTAATTACATGAGTGTTCATCTTAAATGGTGGCTATCCAAGAATTTAGGCAGAAACCAGTCAGCGTACCAGTATGTTTGTTTGTTTTTAATGCGTACATGCAATTTCATGCACCTGCATGTATCATTTCTAAACACAAACATGATTACTCACTACTGGTAGATTTCTTTTTGGAATTGAGCCTAGGACAGTAGTGCTACAAGGCCAGTGGAATGCTATACCTTTAACCCTTTCGCTGCCAAGGACGTATGGCATACGGACCTACAAAAGTGCTTCCAGCTGGCCAGGTCAGTATGCCATACGGACCTGGCATTTACAGTTCTACTATAAGCTGATGGTCAGCTTATAGTATAACTGTTCAGCAGACTGTCCCCTTTAAATTAATAGCTGTCATCAGCGGCTCACAAGCCGCTGATGACCGCTATTATCAATAATACCAATATCAATGATATTTAACGATCCCTCTGTGCAGAGCAAACACCGGAGTGATCGTCTGATATATCACACTCTCAAGTGCTGTCATCCCATACATAAAGCAAAATTTTGTAGAAGGGAAAAGATGGACTCAGTGTTACTGAGGAGACATGAATAACGATATAACATTTTAAAAGTGTTATTACCAAACCATATTAAATTGGCACAAATTATCCATTAAAAAAACCCTTTATAAGGTACATATACAAAGTCCATGTACGTATTGTAACCACCATCAATACAGAATATGCCATAAACAGTGTACACTTGTTAACGCATTTCATGGTGAATTTTGCTTCTTCAGGTTTGGATTGCTATGATTACCCCTGATTGTTACTCCTTACTCTGTGCTACTCCCATGGTTTTGTGTAGTTGGGCAAATGCAGTTTGCTTTCGCACATGTGGTTCTGTTTTATAAATCTCTGCTCTTAATGTCCTGCTTGGTAGCAGAAGTGGGTACACACTGTTGTAGCAGGGAGGCTGGGTCTACAAGGTAGATCATTAGTAAATCTCTACCTGGCCCCCAGGCCAGTGAGTGACTGCACCTAACGCAATTTGTAAAGATTCACCATGGGAGGCCATGGAGAAATGGAGTCAACCACCTTTGTCTTAGAGATGAATTCTGCTTGGTTGTTATGGGTTCCTGCATTTTGCAGGCCTGTCTTATTAAATCACACCTTTTTGTTAACTGATTGATTTTCCCATGCTGCTTTATGGAAAATGATATCTGTGCAAACTCCATTCCATATGTTCCATGATTGCTGCTGTAATGGCACCACTAACTTTTATTTTATTTCTGCAGCCAGGGCACAGAGCTGGCATCTAAAGGGAGAGAACTTGTTAATCATTTCAAGACTGAAGGAACACCAATAATGATTGGTGAGTGCGTGATACATGAACATTGCAGCAGCTCAGAAAAACAAGTGAATTATAATACTTGATTACAATTTCAATTATAATGTAAACCATTACTGAGACTAAAGACTACACTAGATTATAGACGGACATACTATGTGTGCAGTTTTGCTGAGAGATAATCATATTTTATACGTTTAGGTTCATGTTCATTCTTTAGGCATCTATTTGAACTCTTAACACTGTAGCTGCTTTTTAAAGTTATTTGCTTCAATTAGGGGGAGGTGTTCTGGCTCATACAATCCTTGGAGTGAACTGGAGTGAGTCCACTGGCGAAATTAAATTCCTCATTCTCGATCCACATTACAAAGGAGCTGAAGATCTCCAGACAATCCTGGAAAAGGTACCGTTATGCATTTAAAAAAGTTTTCTCCTTATCTATGCTTCCTCCCACCTCTCAGTTCAGCCATACCGTTTTGTGGCCACATCTTCTAGACCAGTATAAAGCTAAAAGACATGCTACAGTGTTCACTGGCTATTCCCCTTAAAGACCAAACAAGGTTATCAAGCACCTCCCATTTCAAATACTTAAACTGGCCATAAATGGCTTAAATACCAGAGAACTGCTTCTGAATTGGCTAAAACTCAAGCTGTGGGTGGCACTGACAGCACCACTGAGCTTCACACAAGTAGATTTAAAAATTGACTGAGCCACGTGGAAAATGATTGGGTGCACAGCGACTACATCTTATCGGATGACATCACTGTTTAGGTATTGCGTCAGCTGTGGGTGTTGTGGCTACTGAATACACTAGACAGCAGTGAAGATTCTTCCATTCATGCTATTAAGGCTAATCAACTGATTTTCTCTCCTTTGGCCCTCGGGTGAATGAGAGAAATCTAATCAGGTATGATCAGCTTACTGATAAAAAGTTGCAATGGTGGACACTCCTTAGCCTTTCAATTTGCGTTTTATGTTGTTATGGTTCTTATAAATTATCCTGTGATAAAAGTGCACATACAGTAAATAACTAGGTCTCAAGCAGCCTGCTTTAACCACTTGAAGACCAGGTGTTTAGACCCCCTTCCTGGCCAGGCCATTTTTCAGTGTTCAGCGCTGCAGTACTTTGACTGACGTTTATTCCGTCATGCAACGCTGTACTGAAATTAATTTTATACCATTTTTTAGGGACAGATAGAGCTTTCTTTTGGTGGTATTTAATCACCACTGGGATCCGCTCGCGCGCGCCGAGGGGGCGTTTGCTGACGCCCGCTCAGATCTAGAGAGCTCCGGGCCGGCCGTTTTTCTACTACGGCCGGCCAGGAGGCAGTTAATCAGCATGTGAGTGTGGGAGGCCAGCTTCCATGCTTGATTAACTCTTGCTTGGATATTGAATGGTCCACATGGAAAAGTACGATTTCACTGACTTTTTTGTATGCTTGTTGAGTTTCCCAACACTTTACTAGATACATGCTTGGGTTGATCTCCAGGGTACAGAAAATGAATCCTTATAATCCCTTCCTGCTCTGCAAGGGTTAAATGCTAGCTTTCTTAGCTGGATAGGAATAAACACAAAACTTACCTTATTTCTCACTGCTCTGGCAGCTGGCGCTCTCGGATGCTCCTGGTATCTGGGCAGGCTCACTGCATCCTCATGTACAATGCAGGGCCACTGGTTCATATGTGATGTCATCAGAGGTCAGGGACTGTTGGCATAGCGAAAAAGATCTGCTTCAGGGTACCAGTCTTGCGAAGAAGAGGAAGCCTGCAAGAGTAGGGATCTGACACCAATTAGAGGACCTTCGTAGAATACTTGGCTAAATAGTCTACTTTGATAGAGGTCTCGCACCCCCCCCCCCCTTTTTACAGGGGGTTACCTTCTAAAGCAGTCATAGAAACCATGCATGCACGCTACTACAAGGCAGTCAGTCAGCCATGGATGAACTTCCCCACCTGATTCTGCTACATTTATTGGCTGTGAATAATGTAAATGTTGATGAATTGTGTTTGTTTCTGCAGGGATGGTGCGGCTGGAAAGGAATCGATTTCTGGACGGCAGATGCCTACTATAACCTGTGTTTACCACAGCGGCCTGTAGCTATATGATCTGTTTATGGAAGCTGCATGTGCTATTGTAAAGATGCAATTCTTTTAAAGGAAAATTCTACCCAAAACTGAAAATTCAATTTTAAATAGATGGCGATCAGGTGATCTTCTGTATAAAGGTATATGTGACTTCAGAGTTACAATGACATAAACATTTCTAGTGGTCACCCTGCCTCAATTAGAATGTTGGTCAGTTTATTGGTTGCACTAAACCGTTCCCTACTCATCCTTATTACAAAACTAAGTTCAGGCACTATAGATCCTTTTACCATAGGCTTTATTTAAAGAATAAAAAAAGAATGAGTTTTCTTGTGCAATAGTATTAACAATGTCTATGAAGACCATTTGCCTTTTATGGTTCTTACTGATTCTACCATTTAACTTCAGGACATATCCATGCACCAACAGTGTGCTCAACACAAGTAAAACGATGTGATGTATACCTGACCCTCAGTAGAGATTAATTATTTCTTCATAAAATACATCCTGATTGCCATGATCTGCCTCCCCACAGTATTTAAAAGCAGCTTTTGGAGTTAAATGTTTACATTATTTTAACCATTCACTGTACCAAATAATCTGTACCATGGTTTATAACTGCATGACTTTTTTTTTTTTACAATTCATTCTGCTGCCATTACTGGAAGACAGACCACAAACATTTTGCCTGTTATTTATAACATACACATGGCTTTCATATAATGTGAGGGAATTAAAAAGAAATTATTGTACCAATATTTTGTAAGCAAAATCATTCTCTTCCATCCTGCAGAAAGGTCATATATCAAACTTAATTGAAGCCAGTAAAGCAGAGCTCCCAGTAAAAACATTTTAAAGTCCATAGTATATTTTTCCGCAGATGAGAGGAAAGGCTTCATCTGTATTTGTATAGTGAAATGCCCCTTAATATCAGTGGTCGGCAAGGAGAAATGCCTCCATGCACTGGTGGTCAGTGAAGAAGGGTCCTTTTATATTGGTGGTCAGTGGAAAATGGTCCCTTTTACAGTAGGTGTTAGTGGAGAAGGGTTCCCGTTACATTGGTGGTCAGTGGAGAGGGATCGTCTTAAATTGGTAACCAGTGGAAAATGGCCCCATTACAATGGTGGATAATGTAGAAGGGTCCCCTTACATTGGTGGTCAGTGTAGAAGGGCCTTACATTGGTGGTCAGTGTAGAAGGGTCCCCTTACATTGGTGGTCAGTGTAGAAGGGTCCCCTTACATTGGTGGTCAGTGTAGAAGGGTCCCCTTACATTGGTGGTCAGTGTAGAAGGGTCCCCTTACATTGGTGGTCAGTGAAGAAGGGCCCCCTTACATTGGTGGTAATGTAAGGGTCCCCTTACATTGGTGGTTAGTGGAGAAGAGTTGCCTTACACTGGTGTTCACTGCAGAAGGGTCCCCCTACACTGGTGGTCAGTGGAAAATGGTCCTCTTACATAACGGGTCAGTGAAGAAGGGTCCTCTTACATTGGTGGTCACTGCAAAACTCCACCTCTGTTTTCATGATGACAATAAATAAATCAGCAGTATGTGTATGTGTGTATATGTGTGTGTGTGTGTGTGTATATATATATATATATAAGCCATCCCCAAACTGTTCCCACAAAGTTGGGAGAATGAAATTGTTCAAAATGTCTTGGTATGCTGATGCCTTAAGAGTTCCCTTCACTGGAACTAAGGGGCCAAGCCCAACCACTGAAAAACAACCCCAAACCATAATCCCCCTCCACCAAACTTTACACTTGGCACAAGTGGCGGCGTGCTTTACACCACTGCATCCGACGCTTTGCATTGCGCTTGGTGATGTAAGGCTTGGATGCAGCTGCTCGGCCATGGAAACCCATTTCATGAAGCTCTCTACGCACTGTTGTTGTGCCAATCTAAAGGCCACACAACGTTTGGAGGTCTGTAGCTATTGACTCTGCAGACAGGTGGTGACTTCTGCGCACTGTTCGCTTCAGCATGTGCTGACCCCACTCTTTAATTTTGCCTACCACTTCCTGGCTGAGTTGCTGTTGTTCCCAGTTGCTTTCACTTTATTATAATACCACTAATAGGTGACAGTGGAATATTTAGTAGCAAGGAAATTTAATGGAACGCCTGAATCCAATGATTTGGAGGGGTGTCCCAATACTTTTGGCAATAGTGTGTGTGTGTGTGTGTGTTAGAGAAGGACTTTGTCTCCGGTGGAAGGTGTTAACAGTAGGCCTATACTGATGTGGCTATGCTGGTCTGCAGAGAGTGGTGGCAACCCTTTAAGTATTTATTTATTACATGCATTTATATAGCACTGACAATTTAAGCAGGGCTTCACATAGTGCACATTCACATCAGTCCCTGTCCTCAAGGAGCTTACAATCTAAGGCCAATTTAGACAGGAGCCAGTTAACCTTCCAGCATGTCTTTGGAGTGTGGGAGGAAACTGGAGTACCCGGAGGAAACCCACGCAAGCACAGGGAGAACATGCAAACTCTTTGCAGATAGTGAGCTGTCTGGGATTCGAACCAGAGACTCCCAGTGCTGTCCCAAGCTCGTATTTTGTAAAGCTGAATATTGTGTTTATTTTATCATAGAGGGACTGCTCACCCCACTTCTGGCCCTTCTGCAAACCAGGCTTCTGTATCTAGAAAAAAAATCATATGCAAGTAAAGGATTAAAGGCCAGCTCCACCCAAACTTCAGTTTTGCATGGTTTCTTACAAGGTTGAATTACAGACTTAAGTCTTTTAGAGGTGGCCGTAGGCAGATGTCTCACTGAGAACATCAGAAGGTTTTACACATGCATATCCTTGAACACATGACTGACTTTCCCTCCAGGATTCACCACAATTTTCTCTTCAACTTAGCCAACAGCTACACAGTGAAAATTCTTGTCTTTTCTCTGTGTGTACTGCCACCTCCTGGACCCCTTTCATATACTGGTTGTGTCCTCATCTGAGAATCTCCTATGTTTTGCAGGAACTCCTGATACTCTCAATGTTTCATTGCCTGCCCAGCTATAAAAGTTTGGATTGTTTTTTTCATCTGGTTTCAGATGGTCCAGCAAAAAAATGGAGTAAAGAAAAAAAAATGTCTTACACATCACATTCTATTTTGTCTTCATTTTCTGTTGCAGATTAGGGAATCATTGCTGCTGACAACAGCCCTGTATTTCCTTTGTTGCAAATTTGGGGACTAGCGCCAGTGGATGTCTAGGGCAGGTCACACTTTTTTTAATTTGTAGTTTTTTTTAATGTTCATTAATGCTTGACTTGGCAAACATTTCTTCAGTGGCCACAGAATATAATCTTCAGTCCAGGGCAATAAAAGATTTACCCTTTCAGTGTATCCACCTCACTACTACAAGGATAACCTGGTTGTTTTGTTTAGGGAATGATGAATAAGGTGATATACTTACCTCATTCCTTGTTTCCCCGCATGGTGCGACAGGTCTACTGATGCCTCTTTTTTCCCCCCTGCCTGACCGGTTGCATCCCTGCATTTTATGGGAGGATGCTGTGGAGAGGAGAGCGTCAGCTACCCCTTATGACAGTAAAGTGTTATTGACAGGTTCTCTTTGAATCTGAGGCCAACTAAATATTGTCTAAATACAAGAGGCATGTGCATTTTTAGACGAATCTTGGTATACCTAGTGTATCTCTTCCACACCTGTGCAGTAATCCAGTGTGCAAATTCTGGCTTCGTGTAGGAGCTTCCTCTAATGAAGACCAGTCACTGCTTCTCCCTCTCCTTGTGCAGGGTGACTGGTCTTGTATCCGACCCCTTCTGCAGTTTTTTGCAGGCAAACTCTAGTTGGTGGGGTCTGCTGGGTCCTTTCTACAGCTCTGTTTTTTGCACTGTGCAACACACAGTGTGATGTCACTGCCCCCTTTACAAGGTAATATATGGATTTACAAAGGCATTTGGTGCTCATAAAGGGGGTTATATCCTTTGTGGTGACTGAGGAGTATATTAAAAATTGATGATTTTGTGTAAAGTTCAGCTTTAAGGAGACCTTAGAGGTCTATTAGACCCCGAATCTCATCTCTGTGCTCTGGTGAAGCTAATGAGGCACAGCTTCTTTCCTGGCCACTCTGGTCAATGACGTTACCTGGGATTCTCGCCTGTCAATTAACATTACCGCATCTGTCATTTAGTGACAGGGTAGTGGTGTGTAAATGTTGGCGGGGGACGGGTCATCGTGATTTATGAGAATTACATTACTGGACTTTGTGACATTAATAAATTGTGTTTTTTATGTGTTTTATTAAAGTAAAGGACTTTTTCAAGGTGTGTGTGTGTGTGTGTTTACCTCTGTGGGAATGGGTAAGGAATATTATATTAATGTACCCCTATTCTCCTGGGCGTATGTGGATATCTGGGTCCCCCATTATCATAAAAGGGGATTCCAGGATATGCCCCCCCCCTATGGATAAAGGGCTGAAATATTAAGGTGAAACCTACACCGTTTCTTCCCGTGTGTGTGTAGTGTCGCTTTCACTTTTAAACATTATCCGTCTCTGGGATGAAATTTTATATTTAATTTTACACTGTTAATATACATCATTATATTGGGGTCCAGCCCAGGGTCTCATTAGTAATGTATCATGTCGCTGCCATGGGGCTAAAACATGGGGAAATGTCCATATATTGTAGAGATGTTTTGCATATGTATTTATTGTGCTGCTTTCCCAGATCACAAGTGTGTGCTGGGATAACCATCAGTCTCTCTACACCCTCCATTATGCTGGACGGAGAACTCTGGGCGAGACACATCATAAAAGGTTGCTAGGCAACCGTTGCTGGGATGATGGAGTAAACACAATCAGCATGTGACTGGGCAGGCTGTGGCATTGTCTTGTGAGTTCTGTGTTCTGTGTGCCCCAGGGAGCTGCATGTGTAATGGCTGCATGAAGGAAGGTGTGTATATTGTGATGATGGGAGACCTGAGCACTGCTATGAACTACAAGTCCCAGCAAGTGTTCCTAACAGGACAGTGCTGGCCTTTAACATCACTCCAGATACACAGGAATGTCTATGGCTCTTTATTTGGGGTGGTGGGTGGTAATCATGTGCACAGAAGTGAGGTGCTAAAACTGCACCCATCTACAGTATACTGCAATGTTATACTGGGATTTGGAGGTGACCCACAAGTATCAAATCTTTGTCACATTTGTCTCTGTGTGACAGTCATAACCAGTGACAAGTTACAGTGTTACAATATACCTGTCATGGGAGAAAGGTGGGGCCATTGCAGACATCCTCCTGGAAATGTTGGCTGCCTAGCTGTTCAGATGATTGCAGACATAGTTACATATTTAGTCAGGTTAAAGAAAAGACACATGTCCATCAAGTTCAACCTATAGAGATATGAAGAAAGAAGAAAAGCCTTATACAATGATCTTAGAGAGAGCTTAGCAAAGGGTTTATCTCATGACAGGTTTCCTTTAAAAGCATTGTATTGTTACATATAAATAGCATACAATACCCCAAGCCATAATATTACAGATTCCTAGCAAACTGGCAGGCTGATAATATATTAATTGTGTCGCCTACACTGACAGGTAGACTATGGGGTGTATACACGTGGTAAATGAATACTCAGGGCTGGCTTTCAATTACTAGGGCTTATAGGCAGATAACATTTGTAACACCCCCTCTGCTGATGATCAATACATAACCCAATATGACGCAACTATTTGTACTGATATGAAATCAATTGGTAACTATACACAAGAAGTTTCCGATAGCTCTGTCAGCGGACGGCAGCTAACTGGTTATTGTGGCTGCATTACAAGAGGGAAAACTTCCTGAATGTCTTTGAAAAATACCGGCCCTTAATGTGCCATTATTGGCCTTTTACCAGCTTCAATATATATGCAATGGGGGAATTTATCAAACCTGGAGCAGACAAAATCTGGAGCAGATTTGCGCTGCAACCAATCAGCTTCTCTCATTTTCAAATCTTACCTGAGCAAACTGAAGAGACGTGCTGATTGGTTGCCATGAGCAACTGCTCCAGTTTTGATAAATTCCCCCCAATGTATTTACCATAAACAAGGAGTCAGCAGAGGAATACTTCCAGTGCTCTCTTCCTCTGCTAGGCTCTGACTAAGGGCTGTCACAGCAGCGTACCCCTCCATACATGAAAACACTGAGTACAGAGCACCTGGCCCCTGCATTCTACAGCTATGGATTTCATTACAGGTTATGCTGTTTGGTGCTGGTTATGCTTAGCAGTCAGGTATGTGCATATCTCTGCTTATTGATCCTAGTGACAGAGTTATTATAAGTAGAGCTAGGCTTTCAAGTGGAACTCAACCCACCAACTTAAAGGAGAACTACACCCTCCTATCCTTTACATCCAAGGAAGGTGCTATCTTAGCAGTTGCCATGGTGCTACACGTGTGATCAGCTACTGTATGACACCAGCCATTTGAGGGTTTGAAGTTTGGTTTAGAGCTGAAGTAATCACAATGGCAACCTTTGGCATACTTTGAGAGTAACTGCTTGGGAGCCATCAAATTGGTGGGCCTAGCTCTGCTATAACTGTCTCCCAAAACAGTTAGTTGCAAGGCACACCAAATGTCAATGCTGCCAGTTCGCTTATTTCAGATTTCAACCAAATTTTCAAGCCCTCAAACAGCTGGTGTCATAGATGATCATATGTGCAGTACCATGGCAACTGCAATCCAGATAGAGGCTAAGATGGCATCTGTATTGGCTGTAAAGTAGAGGAGGTTGTAGTTCCGCTTTAATTATTGTACGGGCCCGTGCCAACAGGCTTTTGTTCGATTCGAGTGGGTTTTGTATTCCCATACATGTATAATGCAAAACCTGCTCGAAGCACGTCATCAACTTCAGGTCACAGGAATTCTGAATAATCTCAGAAGAGTGATGCCATCAACACAAGCCCGAAACCTGTCAACACAGGTTCTTATTATGCAGGCTTACTAATGAAAGATTTATAACTCCCATCCCTTAGCTTTACCTATGTTTGGTTCACTTCACAAAGCTTACACACCAGAATAAGGATCCTTATTATAGTAAATAACTATTATTTTGTTTTTAAATTACAGGCGCTTGTGCTAAAGTTAAGATCCTTTTCCCGGGTGTGTTAGCTTTGTCATTTAAGTCTGTTGTCTGAGTTTTACACTTTAGCTGGAGTGTCAAAGGTCAGAGGTCATCAGCAGCGTTAGGGTTCATGTCAATGCGTGGTCTTGTCAAACACTGCATTTTCCATTCAAAGACACGCAGCTGCGATTGAATGAAAAATGCAGTAACAAGAACAGACTGTGTTTGACTTACACTATCTACAGTTCAGATGTACTTTATTGGACATGTTGCATCCATTGAAATGCAGCGCAACGCAAAGCAGGGCATACACAGGATCGAAAATGTTATGTGCACTGCTCCATTAAAGTCAATGGGATTTTTCTGACCTACATGTGACATGTGTTCCAAACGCATGTCAAATGTGGGGGAAAAATGCTCAAAGACATGAACCCCTACTGCCTGCCAACTACTTGACTTCCCATACTGCACACGCAGAAGATAGGATAGGAAGTTGAAAGGCCAGCAACTGTCAGGCATCAGGTATTGTCTGACCCTTTATCTGCCTCAGCAATGGCAGCTTCTCTTAACTGTTTGATTTGGAGGCAATTGTATGTCTGCCTTTCTCAGTCCCTGATGGCAAAGTCTCAATAGGTTTTTCTAGCCAGTTAGAATTATTTTATTCTCTGACAGACTGGCACATGCAGTGCTTCCCTTCCTTTCTCTATAGATAAAAGCTTGTTCTCCAAAGTTAATCTGAATCTTTGTAGAATGATCATGTGATATACAAAGATGGCTGGCCATTGTTTAGTGTCAGTACGCACCTTGACTTATACTTCATATTAGGTGTTCTGAAGCCTGCAGAAGCCTATTCACATCTATTATTCATAAGCAGTTCTTCTATATACTGTTGAAGGTTTTTATGGATTTGTATCCTTTTATCAAAGATCTGTTTAGGGAACCAACTATTGTTGGTACAACTCCATCATTGGAAATGTTGGACATTTATCAAACTGCCTGAAACAGGAAACATCTGTATTGCTTCCTAGCAGCAAAGCAACATTTCAGATTCCAGCTGTTGTGTTTGACTGTAGGTTTGAAAGTGAGAAGTTTCTGTATGGCAATTGAGGTGTTTCTTCTCTGAGGCATGGGCAAATGCTGCCAAGTGGGGGGGGGGGTTTAAAGGAATTTTATAAAATAAGGTCAGTTTATAAAAATTGTAATGAAAAAAAAAAAAATGGATTAAAAATTCATCAGTTTCTAATAGAAGCCAAACATGTTTTCACTCTCAAGTTTCAAGGTAGTTTATAAAATAAGGTCAGTTTATAAAAATTGTAATGAAAAAAAAAAAAATGGATTAAAAATTCATCAGTTTCTAATAGAAGCCAAACATGTTTTCACTCTCAAGTATATCTCAGCATCTTATTTGTTGCTAAGGACAACATCTACAATTTTGTTTACTTCCATTTTCCTATGTTGTTAATCGGCCTTAGAGTGTTGAGAATGAAGAACCTGAGTTTGGAGCCTCTGCCCAAGAGACAAGAAGGAGACATTCTATATGCAGTCATCCAGTTACCGGGTTTCCCAAAGAGGGTAGAGGCTCCAAGATGTGAACCTGCAGGTAAGCTTTGAACATATTACAAATGATTGTATCATAAACATGGAAAAGACACTGCTCCCTCCCGAAGTTCAGCCTTCAAATGCAGATGCAATGCATTCAAATGTCCCTGCTGCAGACTGCTCAATCCCAATGTACGACTAAGTCCATGTAGGGTGAAATGTGTTAGTGTGGGTGTGACTGTGTGGCACGGTTAAAGCCTAGTAAAGTTGTTATTATGGAGTGACCTCATCAGTGTACAGCTGCTTGGGTGCTTTGGAATTGAACAAAATTATTTGATGTTGGTAATTCAAAAGTAGCCCTTGGTAATGATTAGATGGGCCATCTGATTATGCATATGGGTCATATCCAAACATGTAGCTGTGTTCAGAAAAAGATGTCAAGCCAAATACATTTGTAGATTTATCAAAATGATAACAAAACAAGAGGTGTTGGAAGAAGATAACCAATATTTTTTGTCTATATAGTTTATATAACTGAAAGAAGGTAAGATTGGCAAAGATGGTATTTAAAAAATGGAATGGGAAAAGTAGGACTTAGCGGGGTTGTTGCTGGTGTCATAGTCTTCCATGTAGACATAATGTTCCCTATTACATTTATTACCTCTGCAGAATAACATAATGATACAAAAATCATGCCACAGATCTCATACAATTTAACTTCATTCCATAACCCACTCTAAAGAATGATTGCACTCAACATGAGTGTCTGGAGAAAGGTGCCTGCCAATAGATGTTCTTGTGCCAGTTGAACACATGCTGTCAATCTGACAGTTTGCATTTATGATTTTCTAGCTGTGTTGTGTACAGTGTATGTCTATAGCGTAGGAAGAGTTCTCGAACATGTTGTGGTTACAAGATTCCACATTACTGGCCATACTTATATGTTCCAGATTTTCAGGCTGTAAAAGTGATATGTATGGGTTGATACTGAAATCATGCCTAATATGTTGATGGTAAATATCCTTTCTTCTACTATTAGGTTATATTCACTCTGAGTTAGTAGAGATTGCAGAACATTACTTAAAAGAGAGAATTCAAGAAGGTGATAAACAGGCAACTTTCCTTCTTGGTCAACTCTGTTTTGAAGAGGTAAGGCTTTGACATGACAAGATTGTCTTAAATTATTATTTTTTCATATCTCCAAGTACCCCCAAGGGCACACCATAATTTTAGTAAACTGTAAGACATAAAGAACAGGACTTAAGTAGTTCCAATATTAACATGTTGCCAACAATGTGGAGTGAATATCATAGCAGATTCATTTGATGAATTGGGTCATAGGATGGGGTAAAGGTTACTACTATCGCAGATCATTGCAGAACCTTGGCTTAATTTCCTCTTCGTTAACATGCAAAGTCTACAAGGTTGCATGTTGTACAAAAAAGTTATCAAATGGTAGCAGTATTTATCAGTCTCTTATTGGTAGCTATCTCCAGCAACCTCCTCTAATGTTGAGATCACTCATGATGTAGATTGTAGAAGTCTCTTGTAACATGGCAGGAGGTCATAATAGTCTCATGTAATATGGCAGTAGTAGTAGTACTTAGCTCTTTCTTGTAACATTGCTAATTGCCATAGCATGACAGTGGTAAAACCAGGTTTGAAGTAGGATTGTGGGTAAAATGTACAGGTTGGGTTAGGCTGGAGGAGTAAGTAGGTTCAAAAGCGGGTTGTACGGGTATGGGTTAGATGTGAGTCTATGGAAACAGTTCCATGAGCATCTGAAGCAATGGTGTGCTACTGGGAACAGTTTCCTTCATTTAAAACCAATTTACTTTTGTATTTTACAGGGGTGGTATGAAGATTCATTACTGCACTTTCATAAAGTCAAAGATGATGACTATCAAGCTTTATATCAGGCTGGGGTGATGTATTATGATGGTCTAGGAATTCAAGAAGATCAGGTGTGTATTACCAACTCTTTGAAGACCCTTTTGCCATTGTTTCAACAACAATCTTTCCATGAGATTTTATGTGCATTTAATATATATTGTATGCTTGTTATTTACCTGTAAAAGATTTTCAAACAGGTAAATAACAAGCATACAATAAGAGACATTCAAAAACCCTGAAAATGCTGCTGAAGGTAACACAGGACCCAGGAGACATGCCCCATCCAGATATTCTTCACCCTCCCCCAGTGAGCATACTCATTAAGCAGCCTTTAGTGACAGGGTTCCACCACTGTCCAGGACCTGTGAAGTACTCTGCTGCTGATTCCCACAGTACACCGGGTGTCTGGAGAGTGCCCCGAGCAGAGCCCAGGACCGTAGGGTCACATTAGAGACCATGCCCCGCATCTTTAGCATGGCAGGGTCTGGATACAGCCCAGAGATATCCCCAGAGAGATTTTTTCTGCTTCCTGTCACCTAGATAGGAAGTGAGGTAAATCTCCCTCAGTGAAAACACAGACAGCAATAAAAACCTGAAGAAGTTCCAGTCTAAATGTATGTCTGAATATATATTTTTTTTCTATATTCTTTCTGGCAGTGGACATATTTTCTTCATCTCTGCTATTAAAAGACTACCCTATTTTTTGCTAGTATTTTTCTTCCATTTTATGCAGTCAAGACTCTTCTATACACTGCTGCTATAACTGGTCTCTATGATTGCAGCTATCCTGCATGGCCATACTCAGCCTAGCTTTTGGAGTCCCATGGCCAGACGCCACTAGACTGGAAGTTGTGGGGCTAGCTTGGAAGTGACTGACCTTCACGTAATGTGCTCCAATTAAGGTGCTTTTTAGACCCTATGCTGGTAACAAGTTAGCCGTAGAGTGCCTTCCAGGTCCAGTGCTGTTGGCATTGTCTCAATACATGCCCTGTCTCTAATGACTCAGTCTGTGAGTTGGACGATTGGGCTGAACAATTTGTTTGATGAAATTGTTGGATGCATTGAAAATTCAGTTTTTCTGCCAGTTCCTACTGCAGAAGCGGTTAATGCTGAGGGACTGATCGCTTACATCATTCCGCTGGGTGGAATGTCTCACGCACTACATGCTCTTTCCCTTTATTAAGTGCTGAGGAAGCATCTTCCTTCTCCCACATTGCAAAGAGCCATTTGGAGCTCCGATCTCTAGTTCGTCCTTACTGTCCACCAACAGTGACCTTGGTCACCTCTGGCCATCTGACCGTTATCAGCTACCAGCTGTCTGGGTTTCGTGAGTATCTAAAGGCCTTGCCCTGCACACTGAGATTAAGTTGCTTTGCAGTTGCTACATGTCTGTTTCTTGACAAAGAGAAGAAAGTCCCGCTGCAACAGATGACCTCAGCTCACACTCCACTAATAGTTCTGTTGACATCCATTTTGTACCTTCTGAAGGTGCCCTGGAACTTGGATTCTGACCTGGGCAGAATCTTATGTATTATTCCTGTTTGCTGTGCTTTTTCCAGGTCTGGACTATTGCCTAGAGTTTTTTGGTTTGCCAATGTCCAAACCTCCTGTAGGTGGCATTATAACCCAAAGGTGAAAGACCTACTGTGTCCCTCAATGGACTGTAATCAAAGGAATTTACAGAACTATTTTTTTTTTAGTAATGACTGACTATTTTCTCTTTTTCAGAAGAAAGGAGTAGAGTATATGAAAAGAGTTATCAACTCGAACAGCTCACAAGCGAAACACCTGAAATATGCAGCTGCATTCAATTTGGGACTTGCGTGTTTTGAGGGTTGTGGAGTGCGTCACTCTGATGAAGAAGCAGAGAGGTATTAATTCTTCCTAAGACTATTGGATAACAGCCAGGCCAAAAGTCTCATGTCTGCTTCCTTTTACTCTAGGTGGTGGCTTGTGGCTGCTGATAATGGGAATCCTAAAGCCAGTGTGAAGGCTCAGAGTACACTGGGGATGTATTATTCACGACCTTGCAGCATGAATCTGAAAAAGGTGATTTAGTTTGTATCATTATGCACACTTAATTGAAAAGAAAATACACACTAATTCAATTATAGGTAATTGGTAATACAGAATTATCTAATACAAAGTTATGTAGATGTACAAAGATGTAATTACAAAAAATATTAAAGCTCAATTGGTATCACAGACAAACAGACATTATACATACAACCTCCATTTTCCCGTTATATCAATTGCGTAGTGTGTCTAAAAATGATTACGCAGGCCAACTGCACCAGAGTTTGATTTCTGCTGATCACTGGCAGAGGCAACACAAGTTGTTCTTTGTGGCTAGTGTACATCAGAAATAGTGGCGTGAGGATGCTGAACCGATTCTCCACAATGCATGCCCATCAACAGAAATGGGTATCTTAAAACATTTTCAAGTGCAAATCAGTTAAAAACCATGGCACATGGTGGTACAGTACAGAAGCCTATGGGGCCAAACTGTGCAGGTGTGTTTGCTGGATCAAGAAGCCATCGGAGTGATGTAAACAATGCCGAGGGCCTTGATTTAGAAGAGTATAGTGATATGGGGGGTAGCCTAGACCTTCATAGGGGAGTAGGGGCTAGGGATGCACCGATACTAGTATCAGTATCGGTGCCGATACCGAGTATTTGGGCGAGTACTCATATTCGCCCAAATGCTTCGATACTTACCTCCGATACCGGAACTTCCGGTCGAAGGGAGGTCTCCCTCTGACCGGCAGTGCCGAGGAACCATGGAGCCGATTTCCTTTAAAATATGGAAGCCGGGCAATGGGTTATGACCTGCCTACAGGCTTTCTGATTGGCTAGGAAGTTGGCTTCACTTGTTGCTAGGCAGCCTGGCTTCCTAATGTTGGAACTTCTTGCACAGAGAAACACAAGCACACAGTCAGATATGGATGCTGCTCATGGCTTGGAAAACAGGAAGGAAGCCACAGCTTTTATTCTCAGCCTTATTCAATACCACAGAGTATACACCATAGATATAACAGAACTTATAAACACTGCCATCTACTGGCCAAAAACTGTATACTGCAGAAGTTGTTGCAATAGATACAATAATGTGTATTCTAACACCTAACCAATCAGGAAGCCGGGCGGAACACCATGAGTCGCCTCCCGGCTTCCTGGTTGATCAGGAAGCCAGGCAGCCTCTGCAAGCCTTCTGATAGAGCACCGGCTTCTCAGGCAATCAGGAAGCCGGGGCGACATGTCATGATTGGCCGCTCGACCTCCTGATAATCCGGACACACGGTACCGGTATCGGTACTCGGTATCGGCGAGTATCAGGAAAATATATCGGTACTTGTACTTGAAATACTACATACCAGTATCAGTGCATCCCTAATAGGGGCAAGAGGTTAAGGAAACATTCCCACAATGTTTCCTTACCTTTTTGCCCCTACTCTCCTAAGTAGGTCTAACCTAAATACAACAGTCCCAAAACACTTATAGTTTACCTTTAAATAAGGAAACTATAATGACATTGGGTCACCCAAGTCTAAATATTAAAAAAATGGTAGCATTTTAGCTTTAGAAGACCTATAGATTGGTCACTTCCCAACTTTCTGAGATTAGAGAGAGGGACATCTTTCAGCACACTGTATTTAGGCAAAGGGCACACCCCAAAGTATGCCAACCATTAACAATATATATGCCAAAAATGATTGGTTAAATACAGAATTATTTTTTCCATCATTACTTTTCCTTTACACTGCCTTTTACAGATTTGAAAAATTGATAGGGTAAAGGTTTTAGTGTATAAAAACACGTTTGGTAGTTAAATAGTACATTTTCATAGATACCTATACGTCAGACCAAAAAGAGGGACAACTGAGGAGGAAAGAGGGACAGAGGGATTTGGTTTCAAATGAGGAACAGTCCCTCCATATGAGGGGCAGTTGGGAGGTATGAGTCTTGATGGCTGTAAAACCCACTCGTGAAACCAAGTTTGTTTAATGTAAACTATATACAGTATGTTCTTATACTATATTATTGAATGCATTTTGTACATCCATATTCATTTGCCCCAGTTTTTTTTTCTTTGACGCATGAAGTCATAAACACTTTTCTAATTTTCCTAGTGTACATTCTTATTGCAGAGAACCTAAATACTTTAGAAATGCATTGGCAGCGTAATCTGGTTGCTAGGTGACACCATAGTCTAGTCTGTTTCACTGGACACATCTGGAGTGCAGTTAACTTATGTGATTTTTGCACATATTATTAGTTAGTTGATCTAAGATATTCCATAGTGAACTCACAGAGACATCAGCATAAATGCATCTTTTCAGCTATGAGATGAGGAGGACATAAATCGGAGTTATCTTTGTATCATGCACCGGAGCATTCTGTGCACTGCATCTTGCCAGGACTGGTGAAATTGATTTAATGTATTACTGACTTAGGGTTTAACTTTTAAGTGTTTCAGTATTCACTTTATTGCAACCAAGATCTAATCCATTAGCCAAATAAGACATTTATTCCATATTCATTAAATTACCTATAGGTGTCTATTTGAAAGCACTGTAACTTACAGTAGTTATTTCCATTAGTGCCAGTTCCTACTTTAACAAATCCCATTTCTACTTAGTATCCGGCAGGTTTTTTACATTTTCCAATCTCACAGTCACAACTTGATCTAAAAATGAGTTCCATAGAACTATTTTTTTGTTTGTTTAATATATTTTTATTGTTTTGTTTCCATAAAGGTACATTTCTACAAAACATTCATAGATATTAGTTTCAAATTGTCTCTTAGTTTTAATAATTATTTATAACTCTAATTGAAATCAACTTACACCCACTTCCAATGTCAATCACTTGCCATCCATCAAACTTCACTCCCCCTATCACTCTCTTCTCACATTCAAGCTTCCGCTCTTATCGTTTTCTAGGGGGGGGATCATGACCCTTTTGATTAATTTGGGATGCCCCTCTAGTGTTTGTGACTACTAGCCTATAATATATATGTAAACCTCACTATTTCCCCTTTTATTATATACATTCCTCTATTCTTATTATGCATATTCCTCAAGTGAGTTTCATAGAACTATGAGCTCTTTGTTCTCTATAAAGTATCTTGTCTTAGCTCAAGTAGTCCTATAGTTCTTTGTGCATTTTGTGTGCTCTTAAATCCCCCGGGCTTAGAGACATGTCATCATCAATTAAGAATATGGAAACCCCACAGAAAAAAAATAAATAACATGGTAATACTTTTAAACAGGATGCAGCAGTACTGTAATGAACAACCACTTACTATCAGATTACCATAAAATTCAATAGTAATGGGGTCATTTACCATGCTGCTGCTGTATAATGGAATACAGTGATAACCTGCATGTGATGCCTCTATGGTCATATTGCTGCACACTCTTACATTATTTGTATCTCTTGCAAAGCCTAGCTGAAAGTTATTCCTTACATCACAGGACACAAGATGGTATTCTTAGACCACTGGGTTATACTGCCACCTTCAGGAGTTTGGAAACTGGCAAAGCAAAGCTGTAAGGACAGCCAAGTATGCGGGTGGGTGGAGCCCTTTCTCGGAAGACACCTTAGGGAGTATGCCCACTGGGAGCGCACAGACTATCTGGGACGCCCGCAGGGGCCACTGTTGATGACTTACAGGGTTATTCACTAAAGGGTGAAGAGTTTGGAGAAGGCAGGAGAAGTGAACAATCTAGGGCAGCATGGCTAAACTAGAAAGTTAACTGAATTGGAGAATTTTTCCAAATTAGCTATTTTGGCCTAGATTGTTCACTTCTCCAAACTCTTCACCCTTTAGTGAATAACCCTGTTAGTCTTCCCTTTTTTGATCTCCTTATTTCTGTACTTGACTCTGGATTATTCTAATGAAAAAGCCATTGGGCCAAAGATCTATGGAGCTGTGGATGATAACCGTATGTATAGGTTTTTTGACTTCCCTACCTAAGCAAATCACTTTTCTAGCAATTTGTCATGATCCTGGAGAAGAATGTTATGACTTTTGTTTTATGCTTTTTGTATTTTGCACCATAATTTTTATAATGATTTATCTATGACACATCTATCAGTCCTGTTTAGTTCTCTTTTTTTTGTATTTGTTATACTCTAAATAAACAAAGATTCAACCATAACTTGCATATTGTTGTACGACAGCTTACGGTGACCTAGCCACAACTGGCCAATTTCCCCTCCTGCTCTGCAGCTGGGTTGTAAGGTTGCCTTGATGGTGAGGTCTCACTTATCCATCTAGACTGTTAGTATGGTACAGCATGAGTGCAAGTGTAGTGGCTCTGTGGGCTCCTCTGGCTCATGATCCTATCACTGTTTGTGTGGCATCTCTGTTTATATCTACAGCATCTACTCAACTTAGGACCATTGAGAATTACATAGTTACATAGTATTTGAGGTTGAATAAAGACATTAGTCCATCAAGTCCAACCTATTAGGATCTCATTCTAGGAGTACCCGTACCCCTGTATATTGCGGTGCCTTAAGAAATCGTCCAAAAGTTTCTTGAACAATTCCACATTATTTGCTGAAATCACCGCCTGTGGCAGTGAGTTCCCAATACCTTCAGATGGTTTGGTATGTGGGGAAGTTTACCCCTTGGCTTAACTCCTATGCATAGGGGTAGCCTTTTTTTGCCCTTTGTGGCTTGTCAGACCCGGAATTGTTTGCAGCTGCCATTTCTGGTCCGGCTTGAGCTCTCAGAAGACCTAATTCTACTGTATGTGTTACCCCAGGCCATTTTCCATATTTGGGTCCAGAGTGTTGTATCCAGGGTCTACAGGCTGCAATTCGGTCTTAGTCTTCAATGCATTGGCGGACCATTGCACTTCTCTGACGCAATTTATTTTCCCGTAGATCATGACCATGGAGTATCTGCCCCATACTGAAGCTAGTGGTCCTTAACTCCTTCCTTGGCTACAAAAGTTCTGCAATTTCATTTTCCAGGTCAAGCACTACTTCCCTCCATCCGGTAAATGTTCGGTGGAAGTCTGGAATGCCTATCTGCATATACCCATTTTCTCAGTGTCTGCATTTTCTGCTGTGGCTACACAATCTTTCTGAATTCCGGATCTTCCCTTGGGCCTGTCCTCTGCCCGTTCTTGCTCTATTTCCACTTCTGGGATTTTTCTTAGTGGGATAATTGGGCTACCTTCCCCTGAAGTATTATTCGATTCAGGCTTAGTCATCCGTATGGTCTTTGTGCAGACCATACGGAATTCCAGGAGGATCCTGAATTTCCTGAACTCAGCACTGGAACTGTCTCAAGGCTTGGAGTATCTGAGCCTGATCCTGTTGAAGCTTTTTTTCCCTTTCATGCACCAGCTCCAGACTCTCTGCTCCCACATTTGGATTCTCCAGGCCAGGAGACAATCAAACCTGCTTTTTTTTACATGAGGGTCATGGGTCAAAGAGTATCCTACTTAGGGGCAGCCCTGTGTATTTTTTATTTTTTTTTACCCCAGAAGGTTGCAACTCACCATTCTAGCAATGTGGGGGACAAGAGGGTGAAGTCTCTGGATCATCCCATACACTTGTACAGCACGACCAGGCTTGGCATGGTGGACGACAGGTTCAATGGGACTAGGGAAAATCCTTCCTCCCAATGGTTTGGTAGGTGCCCATGATGGATGACAGCCTATTGGACTGGGGAGAAGTCCTTTGGTACCTTCTTGGTACAAGGGCCCTGGTCGTCAGAGAAAACTTGTCTCCCATCCAGTGTTCAAGGTTGATTCAGTTATCCCTTCATGGCTATACCTCTCCTCTGCAAGGTCAACTGACCAGGTTTTTCATTGTTTTTTTTACCATGGCAGCAGCTTACATCATCCTTCTGGGGAAAAAATTACCCATGTTCCGAATCTACTTCTGCCCGGGCTGAAATTCCCAATACTATAGCAGCTTAAAGTTTTATGTTTTTTTGCTGCTGGCTGCCATTTATAGTAGAAGTGATTTTCAAGCTTGACATGTTTGCCAATTACTTGACACAGCCAATTTTTACATTTGACCAAAAAAATGTATATTGTGTTTGCTTGCACTAAAATTAATTTAGGTGTATTTGTTTTACTGAAATCATCTAGATGTATTCACTACAGGATAGACTTTGTCTAATTTGTTTGGTTTTGAGTTTTCTGTTAAGGGTTGTAAGAGTTACACTGCTGAATGACCAGAAAGTGCACCAGTACAGACTGGTAATACAATTAAAGTATGTTCTACAAGACATGGCTAATGAACAATGACATTTTCATAAATAAAATAAATTCTTTCTAATGTTATATGACAGCCAGGGTTTGTTAGCAGAGTGTCATCTGGTCTCTTGCAGGCTTTCTTCTGGCATTCAGAAGCTTGTGGCAATGGCAGTGTGGAGTCACAGGGAGCTCTTGGTGTGATGTATCTTTATGGACAGGGAATACAAAGAAATCAGCAGTGTGCTCTGGAATGTCTGAAGGAAGCAGCTGAGCGTGGAAATGTATATGCACAAGGGCAACTGGTCAGATTCTACTATCACAGGAAACTGTACACAAAGGCGGCAGAGTTAGCAAAGAGGTAACATCCCATACTGCTGTCACCAAAGACTTGCTGGAAACCTAAATGTACTTTTCCAGTATGTCTCCTATTCAGTTTTCTTAAGCAAACAGTTTTTGTAACTCTGTTGCAATATTTCTCATCTGGAATCCTACCAGTAACAGCACTTTCTGTTGCAGGCTGGCAATGCTAAGCCACTGCCTTGCAAATAGGAGCAGCATTGTTGGCCTGCCATGCAAGCTCTTTCAGTTGGCCATGTGCCTGCCTATCTGATAGACCTGATAGGCAGCCCAACAGCAAACTGAAGGTGTGTACATGCAGACATCCCAACTCTCCCGGACGCTCCGGGAGTCTCCCGCTATTGGATAGCGGCTCCCGGCCGCCCGGGAAAGTAACACTTCCTCCCGGAAAGGTTTATCTGCTCGATCAAGCAGATAAACCTTTCCCTGCGATCGTTTTTTTTTTTTTCTTTTCTGACATCGGGAGCCGCGGCCCAACCGTCAGTCAGAAAAGAAAAAAAAAAGGCATACGAATGCACAGCTAGATTCCTATTGGCTATTGCACTTTGCAATAGCCAATAGCAAACTAGGTGATGTACCCGCCCACTGCTGCTGTCAATCAGCAGAGGGGGACCTGAATTTTTTAGGTCCTCTTCTGGTGATTGAAAGCAGCAGAGGGCGGGTGCAATAGCTAGTTTGCTATTGCAAAGTGCAATAGCCAATAGGAATATAGCTATGCATTCTTATGCCTTTTTTTAATATTCTGACTACTGCAACTGTCAGAATACTAAAAACAAAATCAGAAAAAAAACCTGCAGATAGCAAAGAAGCTATTGCTTCCTGTGCTATCTGTCATCATTTCAGGGGGGTGCTCTCTCCCAGCCCCCCTAACCCCCCCTCTGCGGATGGGGAGGGGGGGGGGCCTAGAGGGCACCTCCCTGAAATGAGAAGGACACCTCCCTGAAATGGCTTCTTTCCGGTTGGGATCCCTGGTACATGGGAGGCTGATACCTCTCCCATTAATTGCAAGGCAGTAGTGTAGTGTTTATAATAATAAAAAACTGCAAGGTTTTGGCAATCTGTACCAAAAATAAAGCTGCAATGTTAAAAAGTCAGCCAACCTTTTAAAAACTAACACGACAATCCTTACACCATACTGCAGTTGTATACAACTTGAGCTTTCTTGTTACACACTTTATGAGGGTCAGTGACTCAAGGTAAATAAAGACAGAGGAAAAACAGGTCAACCAGTCAGCCAGCATTTTTAGAAGGTGGTCATTGTAAGCACTTTTCAAAAAATCAAATCAATTTTGCCATGTTTAAAAAAAAAAAAGAAAAATCTAAACTCTAACAATGAACCTCTCTTATTTGCTCCATTTTGTCCTGTTAAATATACAATTGAAAATGTTTTGTTATATCTGTTCAATAAGTTCAACAAATATCTGTTAATTCTGCCAGAAAATTACAGCTGACCTTGGCACACCTCATATGTTATTTCATGGAGTCTAAGCAGCTCTCCCAGTTCTAAGCTTGTGAATATAGAACAACCAGCTGTTTTGTTGTGGAAAATAGTACGGGGAAAGAATTGAGGCGTTTAGGGAAAGATAACTGTGCAATGCTGACAGCAGTCAGCCCACAAGAGAACTAGGAGGAGTCTATTTCTGGCAGGTGAACAGGTATTTTTCTGTACTTGCAGTGTCTAGAGCAGGGGTCAGCAACCTGTGGCTCCGGAGCCGCATGTGGCTCTTTCATCCCTCTGCTGCGGCTCCCTGTCCAGGGGCGGAACCACCGTCAGGGCCTGAGGCTGTAGGGGGGCCCAGTGAGTCCTGGGCCACCCTCTAGTGGAATATGCGGCAGTGCAGGGTCCCGGGGCCCCGCACTGCCGACGGGCTTCTCAGCAAGGGGGCAGGTCCTGTGACTCACCTCCTCTCCCGGCTGCGTCCCTAGTAACAGGCGGTGGGAGAGGAGTAGTGTGTGTATGGCCGGTACCCATGTGAGGGGTGTGGGCAGCCTGGGGGGCCTCATACATGAGTATCAGCTGTACCAGGGGCAGCATGGCAGAGGTAACAGGGGAGGGGGTGGAGGAGGCCAGGCCACAGCAGTTAAGAGGAGTTGGGAGGAGGTACAGGGAAAGGGACCCCGGCGACCAGTCCACCTGAGGCCCTGCAGAGCCCACCATAGAGAGTCTCAGATGGGCTGTGCAGGATCTATGGTGTGCTCTGCAGGGTCACTCTCAGGTGGGGTCTCAGGTAAGCCCAGAGTCCAGTGCGTTACTAAGCCCACATATACCTATATACATATTATACATAGCATAAAGGTAAAAAACTATATATGCCGTGTTATCTTCATTTTAGATGTCAAAAGTGTTTTGTGGCTCCCGGTTTTTTATTTTCTGTGGGAAACGGGTCCAAATGGCTCTTTGAGTGTTTAAGGTTGCTGACCCCTGGTCTAGAGGGTTAAAACATACTGCATATGTTTTTGTAATTTTTGCTCTGACATGCTCTTAAATGAATGTAGCTTATATACTGCATATTTATTAGTGTGTGTTACCAATGCCGGCCTGTTCTGAGAGATGTAGCTCCACATGTGACATAGAACATGCTATACTTCTCTTTTTTCCAGGAGTTTCAGCATGTCACACTATGACTCGCTGACATCACCCTTACTGTGCCCTTGTGTTCTTTTATAGAATTGTACAGCATGACAACATTGACTTGTGTGCAAAGTCTACAGATTGCCTTCCTACATATGCCTCAAAAGGAATTGCCATAGCCAACTTCTATCTGGCCAGATGCCTCCATCTTGGTTTAGGCCTAAAACCGGACATGGCGGCTGCTAAAAAATGTTACACTAAGGTAAATTTTTCATATTTATGTTGAAGAAGTAGTACATTTTATATAATTATGTAATACACAGTATAGCACAGGATATTAATAGAACACCCATCTACATACCCAGTAGTTACAGAAGGATGCTATTAGTTGAGAATGAACTATACCATGCACATATGCCTGTCATGTTTAAACATAAATCAGAGGCAAAAAGCCCAGAAATGTAACTTAAAATATGAAATGAAATCTAGTTGTGTGTCTAGTGCTTAAAAATGACACCATGTATGGATCAAAATACTTTAACAGTCGGCAAAGTCAAGCAGTGGAAAAAAAAATGATGAATAAAGTGCAGTAATGTTTAGCAAACAAGTCAGATTACAGTAGGTTGAATTGTAGCCGTTATTGCTCACAGCTCTGTGCCTTTTTATACTATGGAATGTATGAAGATGTACCAGTATTAGCCACAATCTCACTTTGCTATATGTTATTGGGTTTCCAGGCATGCCTACTGGATGCAGATGTGGCTGCTGATCTGCAGTGTGACGTCATTTCTGGGAAAATCTAAAGCTGCTTCCCCGTCTCACATCACATTGATGTGTCTGGTTTTTCACCATCTCCAATCGATTCTCAGTAATATGTCTTACTACATAGTCTGCAATGTCAGTTTGTCTCACAGTAAAGACTAAACACGTATTATGAGCATTCTGGGGATTTTGTACAGCGTGTAATGCTAGTAGTGTGTAGAGAATTTGTAGCCACTTCCTTTCTCCATGCACTTAAGAAGAGGCTCTCCACACAGATGTTTTAGTGGATAAGACGGGTTGCATCACCCTTTGGGGACTTCTAGGAAGACCATGTCATTTTCCAGCTCTGTTCCTAGCACCGGATTTATGTAAATATGTTAAAGGGGTTCCTATTCTTCCAACCATGTTCTCTGTAATAAGCATAATAAGAAGGATCCATATGTGCTACCATGTTTATCTGACCTTAATCAATTACGGGAAGATAAAAGTGGATAAGCTGTGCTGGTGGCTTATCCTTCTCCACCGCTAAAGTATTCTGAATGGGATTTCAGTATGGAGCACAATGGGGCAATTTCTGATTCGGACCAATGTAGTGATAGACTCTCTCATAGTGTCTGCAGGTGTTAGGCAACATCTTTAAGACAAATCAGCTCTGAATTAGCCTAACAATTAAAAAGTAGAGGAAAACCATCACTAAGCTTTGCTAAGAACATGTTGGAAGGCTAACTTGTTAGCCGTTATTTGTGGGAGGGGTTCGCGCGCCCACAACGCTTAAAAGAGGGCAGGCCGAGGCTACAGGGATGTGCGGTTCTCGACTGAACCCTCCCTACCTTCCCTCTCGTTCACATGTATATATATATATATACACACACATAGATTCATTCTACACACAGAGTATGCCCCCTTATTTGGCATTACTGTGCACCCGGACCATGGCACACCTTAGGTCTGTATCATTCCGTAGCAGTTATTTGTATATGTATGTATGTTGTTTTTCAGGTCATGACATCATAGTCTACACAGGTAAGTGAACGCCTTACACAATTATTAGATAGCCCCATACCCCAGCTGCACACATGCCTCTTTACCACACAACAAAGACCTGCCTCCGCCAACAGCTTTGAGCGCAGCTGTACATTTGTCTCTTTTTAGCGGTGTCTGAACACTAAACAGCCATAGGCCCATAGCACTAGTGATCCTGTTACTGGCAGCAACTCAACATCAAAATGATCACTAGAGAGGGCAAAGAAATCACTCATCTGGGTCTCTGGTGTCACTTCCACACTGAGCAAAGTACTACAGAACGTCCCTCACAAATGAGAGTGTGACACCATAGAAACAGGCGAGTGGTTTCTATACCTTCTCTAGGACAGGATCACTAGTGTGTAAAGGTCATAGAACAGATATATCTCATAATTATGCTGCAGGGGGGTGGAGCTGGTTTAGTGCAGGTTGCAAGAAAATGAACTTTAAAAATCTAAGGAAATGAAAATCAAACAATGCATTCCATGTTTACCCGCTTTCATAAACATAAATCATTTCTTAATACTGTTAAAATGCTTGCGAGCAGTACCAAGTTGTACTGGAGGTTTGGCTGGGCTGTCTTGGGACAGGAATGTCTTGGGACCTGCTGGAATCATTAAACACTGGGTCGTATTTCTTAAGGTGCCTAGAAGAGGAAAGTTTACATTGCATCATAACAACCTATTGGAATACCGAACCTCCTTCTCAAAGTTATTCTAAAGAGGAACTACACCTTCCTATCCTCTACAGCCAAGGGTTGTGCCATCTTAGCCTCCATTTGGAATGCAGTTTGGGGGCAGAAATAAGCACACTGGCAGCCATTATAGTTGGTATGCCTTAAAAGAACCTGTTTTGGGAGACCATTATATTGATGAGTCTAGTTCTGCTTTAAGTAAAAAGTCTGCATTTCTCACAAACACCAATCGGATTCAAACCTTAACTCCTATTTGCTATTGAGGCAGGACAGACATTTGTTATTTTCACAAGAACGCTCACAATGATTGGTTGCTGGAAATAGCAATACAGTGAAATGGGTGCAGTTCCTTTTTAGCACCCATACTGTGTGACTATTCACGCAAATTACTATAGTGTTTAATAAAGAGACAAAGAACAAAAATAAATTTTTGTATTTATTGCTTACAAATATTTTAAATAATGGGCAGTCTTTGGTAAAAATAAAAGCAATAAAGAATAAAATATTCACAATAACATTACGTAAAGTATTGCACAAAACATTCTTCAATACACTGGCAATAATAAAGGAATGTTCAGGATCCTCAATGAGGAAATGATCTGTACAACATTCAATTATTTAACACTATCTTACGAAATGCTCTTCGAATGTCGAGTACGTCCAGCGCCCTAAGGGTCCCCATATGTCACTGAACTGGATAAAAGATGTCTCCTGTCCCTACAGTGCCTCATCTCATGATCCAGAGACCAGTAACCAAATGACATTTTTATTGAGTAAAAGTAGTGACTGTGCAGCATTACCTCCTCATTTCTACACTACAGCAACGGCTTCCCCAACCTGTACATTTTACATAAAATAAAGAAGGGGGAGAAAAAAAAGACGCAGGAGCTTAAGTAGTCCTCAGTCAGCCCTCTATGGAAAAGAGGAAAATAATTAGCATGTCTATGGTTACACAGACATTAGAAGTAGTGGTTCACTTTGTGCTGTCGCAGGCTGGTCCGGGTTTCAAATGCTCCAAGTGGCTTCTCAGTTCTGGGCATAGCTCTAGCAGACAGACTTCCATCAGCACCTGGAAAACACAAAAACATTCTTATGAACTAAACAGCCAATGTCTTATGCTGGCCATACACCATGTGACAGATCACAGACACTGATTGCACACAGGTAGACCTTTATCAATTAGATGACTTCTAAAGTTAATTGGTTAGCCCACATCTTATTTAGGGGTTTCATAGTAAAAGGGAGGCAAATACTTATGCACACCTAATTTTTTTTTTTATTATTAGGGTTTGCATCACAATAAAAACTATTTGTGCCTACAAAGTGGTAGAGTGTTGTGCACATCACACAGTACAAACTCCCCAAAAAGTCAATATTATGTCCAGGTTGTAATGCAATAAAACGGGAAACCGCCAATGGTGGTGTATACTTGGTAAGGTACTCTATATTTTACCTGCAACTTGAAAAATATCCACCCCCTAAAAAACAAAAACAAATATGTTGGCATGCCATATTTCGGAAATGGCATCTACTCTAGCTGTTTTGTGTAATGTATAGGCCCCATGGATTGCCATGTTTCCATTAGCCCACCACAGAGACTTGTACCTGATTTTTTCATGCACAGTTCCCAATCTAAATCTACACCTGTAAGCACATGAATTTTTAATGTAAAACAGTTTATTGCTGTACTTATGTTTACAAATTATTTAATATTTTCTGATGTATTTCAATATTTTACAAAAAGGAAAAAAAAAAAAAACACTTCAGCTACCATACAGGGGGGGAGGGTACTGTAATGCAAATTCTAATATCAATCAACTGTTCCACCATTGTGGTACAACACAAAATGCTTAATGGGCCAGACCACAATCTATATTGTCCCACAGAGCCAGCCAGGGGGCCGGAAGGAGCAGGCATGGCACAGGCAGCAGAGAAGGACCATAGTAGTGATCTCTTTGGTCTGATCTGACATGTTCCTCCACTGAGACTAAGCTAGAGCTCTTCAATCAGCAAAGCTCTGGCTTCCTGTAGATTGCAGTATTCTAAATCATAGGGGGTGTCGGACCGCTGCGCTCACATAAACAACAGCGGTTCTTCTTAGCTGTCTGTGCTGTGGAGCAACGCACAACATTAAGACATTTGATGTCAATTGGGCTTCAAATCAATTATGCATGTTTAAAAAAACTTCTGTTGCATGTTTAGAAACAGACTTGGCACCCAGCAGTGTTGGGGCTGATAAGAGAAATGAAGGTGAGAAAAATGGAGCTGGGGATCAGACAGACTGATCACAGAATGGAGAGACATGGGTATAGGCAAAAAGATTGGCATGCTAATCTGATTCACGGAAGTGTTCTCTTATGTTTAGCCACTGGAGAAGAGACTTTAAATAACGGGTTCTTCAGATATGCCTGAGAGGAGGTACTACCAATCATCGACTCGTGCGTTTTGCACGAACACAGAAACGTACAAACAATGAAATAAGGGAAGCTTCTTTACTTACATAAAGTAGATGCTTATTAGCTCTGTTTTCTTGAAGTGCATTAAATATTTTGATTATACCATGACGTGCATTCTGCTGTCCGACTAAGTTCTGAAGTGCATCTGAGTACAGGAAGACATGAAGAGTGAAATTCACAAATATATTGGTCCAACCTATCCCTGCATAACAGTATAACTTTAACTTGGAGGGGTACTTGCTGCAAAAACACAACTGTACTTTTATTTTCCAGCAGAGAACATAAAAAACAGCTGACGATCTGTTTTTAATTGACATTAAAACTGCTTTCCACAGAAAGCAGCAGCTTGTCTTTAAAACGCACATGTTTAATTAATGTCAGAAATGAAAAGCTCAATACCTATGACAATAAGCTGTAGAAAATAATTGTTACGGCAAAAAAACAGCACGGCACTGTGAAGGACATATTTTTAAACTAGCCTCGGGGAGCAATTCAAATAAATGACAGCAGCTCTGTCTACAGACAGTACTCTCCACAATACACAAAGATGACCGCATATGTATATTGAGCTATTAGGGTTTGAGGTAGAAAATTGGCTAGGTTTATACCATCATGAAATATGAAAGACCTCCATTTTGTCTGAGAATTCATCTTCTCATTGTCTTAACTTTAAAAATGAACAACTAACAAATGACCTTTCCATTATCATCTCTTTCACACCTTTATTTTTCTTTACTTTAACTTTCAGGATGTATCAAAAGTCTCATGGTTTCCTGTAAAAACATTGAGTCCTTTAAAAAGTAGAAACCAGACTAGGTTTAATTTCCTCAAAACAGACAGATCGTTCTTATCAGGTGTTTGAGGTGACAGTTGTTGGAATAACCCAAATTTTAGGTTGGACTTTGTGGTTTTGGATAGTTAACTATTTTGCTGTCGTGCCAATTAATCAGTTTCTATTGGATAATGTATATCTTCAAAGCCACCCATTGGGGTATGTAACTGGGATGCATCTTATTAAATATGCTAATATCTTTTGTTATATGAACTCATGTAACCAGTTGCAAATGTGCATAATGACAATCAGACATTGTGTCCAATACGTATTGATCAAACTGTAATGGCAAGAACACAGTTTCTGTTCCTGGTTCCAAAGGTGGTCTATTTCTGCCAGGACATGTTCAATAGAAACCATCTACACTCAGAAGGATAAATACAGTGTATGTGCTCTACAGCTTTTACCAGTATAAGAGATAAATGGAAACACATGTAGAATGCATGGTAAAAGCATCAGAATGCATTTCACCTCTCCCACACGGATGTGAACTAGAGGTGCACCAAAATGAAAATTTGAAATGGAAAAAAACAAAATATAATTTAAAGCATATTTTTTTATGTATTTAATTTTTTTACTTTTTAATTTGTATATATATATTTTTTGTTTATTAATTTTTATGAAATATTTTTATTTCCTAAATTTACTTTTGGGGGCTTCAGTAAAATATCAGGGGTCTAAACAGACCCCTGATATTTCCCATTTACAATAGAAAAAAAGAGATTGAGTCCTTTTTCTGCAGCCTCTGTTATAAATGAACAGGAATCCACTATAATGAGTGTTCCTGTCTGTTCATACATTGTGGATATAGTAGTACAGTAGAGTTACTATGTACACAATTATGAATGAATAGGAAGTGATGAAGAGCATTTCCTATTCATTCATAACTGGTACAGAGTAACTCATACTATGTCCAGTTATTTACAGTTTGCGATCACCAATTGTTGAGTGCTTGTACCGCTCTCCATGCTGTCAAAGGAGTCTGAGCTCACGTCTGTCTCAGCCCCCACCGCTCTCCATTCTGATAGGTCACAGGAGGCCGAGGGGGGGGATGGGGGTTTCTCTCCTCTCCACTGGACACTGCGCTCTGTCAGAGGGGAAACAGAGCAGTGCACAGCGTGGAGGAAAGAAACTAGAGATGCCATTTTTTGCAGAAATGTCGGCGGCCGAAATTTCTATGCATCTCTAATGTGAACATAGCCTTAAAGCTGGGTACACACGGATTAAAATTCAATCCGTGGCTGGCCCTATCTCCTCAACAAAAGTCAATTTTGTCAAAGGGACATGTTGGAAAATTGTCGGCCAAACAGTGCTTGGAATCATTTGGCAGGCGCTGCTGTCAGAATACAGAGGACACAGAGGGAGATTCACGGTTAGTGTGGATGGAAAAATCTATCATCCCCCATGTGTACCCAGCTTAAGAGGTCAACACTACTGTGTCCTGTAGTGATTAAGGTGTCAGCGGAAGAAACCACAGCACATAGTGGGAAACCAGACGAGTGAAGATGGAGGTGCAGACAAGAGGGGCAGGTAATTAAATTTTTTTTCTTTGCCAGCAGAGCAGAGAGGTTTTTCTTTTTTTTTTAATTACAGCAAACCCTTCACACACATTACTTCACTAAACTAAGGAAATGTAATCAGAGGCAGAGTCGTGATTAGGAGCAGAGGTTGTGAACCTACTGGAGTGGGTCATATTAGACAGTGTGCACTTGATAGTTACTAAAGCAATTCAACATGGAAATCAAGTCTGAGTAGCTTTTTTTAAATCCTTTTTTGTTCCATGGGATACGTAAAGCTTCTACAGGTGTATTTCTCGATATTTTGAAGTCAGGGTACCCACTTATTCATAGTAGACACCCCCTTTTTCTAGGCCAGTATTTTTCTCTGTCTTCCAACACATTATATGACAAGAGAAGAGGAGGTCCTTAACAAATGACCAGAATGTTATAACAAAGTAATATGTAAAATCATATGAATGGCTGTGTTTTCCTGAAACTACAATGCTCATTATAGATTATAATAGCCAGCTATCATTGAGTTAGCACAGCAATGGCTAGAAACAGATAGGCCCTATTTCCTTTATAGCTGAAAATAATCTATATAACAAAAGCAGAACCAAATACAATGTCAGCTAACATACTTTCTGAACAATACACTGAGAGGTCACTGAGCTTCTATAATTGCACTATAACAAGCCCTAGCATGCATCTCCAAAGCAGGCGAATCACAATGGAGAAGGAAAGGCTGTTATTAGATTGTGTTTATCTTTACTCAAGACAGGGACATTGGTGTCTGCAGGTTTTACAGCATAATGACAGTGAGGTGGACTCTGCTGTGTATAAATACCATACACAACCCTATCATAGCAGTTCGCTCACCGGGGATGTTTTCAAGTAGTTTTTGCTGAGCTTTCTGCTTCGTTTCCTGACACTGAAGCTCTGTTCTTGAGGTTTTCATAGGTGCTAATTTTCCATTTGGCCAGAATGCATCTCTGAATACATTGATATAGTAAACCAGCATCTGCTCGCTGAAAATCCAATTTACGGTGTCCCGGATCTGTCTGAAAGAAATAAAAAGTATAAGGGCAATAGTGTACATGATATAAAAGTACCAGTGCATTTGGCTGCTGATTGTTCTACATGCCTCATCCAAAAGGGACAAGGTGATCTTAAGAACTTAAGAACTTAACTCAACAGCCGGTTTAAGAGACATCAATTTTTTTTCCATTTGAGCTTGACTAATGTTTAGATATGTTATCATGTAAGCAAATTAAAAATCCTGACTTTTACTTACTTTGCAGTTATTACCCAAAAAGAAAGCAGATCGTTATAATGTTATAAACAGAATATCACCCTTTTTACAATTACTTTAGAATAGGGTAGGGAAGGGTTAGAATCTCTGTCAAATTTCATTGCCACCAGTGTCTCCATTGGAGAGGTTACTTCCTATATCCTAGGTAGCGATGTACCGATACTGGTTTTTCGGTATCGAGTACCGATATTTGTTTTAAGGACTCGCCGATACCGAAAGTCCCATTAAGGAAACCTGCTGTGTAATAGCTCGCCTCCCGACTTCCCGATTAGCCTGGAAGCTGGCTCCATGCTCCCTCGTCATGTGACATGAAAGCATGGAGTCGGCTTGCTGGCCAATCAGGAAGCCGGGAGCGGGTAATGACTCGCCTCCCAGCTTCCTGATTGGCCAGCTGAATGAGTCAACAGCAGGCCACAATATAAATCTGTTATTATCCCCAAATGTAATCCAACAATACAATATTTAAAACTGGAAAGGAAGATTCAAAGCTTACTTGTTTATGGTTCTTCCAAATGTAATTTGTACCAGTGCAATTAGCGTCTTTCTCACCCACTTAAACACTACAAGAAAACAGAAACACTTGTTAGGCCAGATAATACTACTTTGGATACTTACATGGCCATTTATTCTACAATTGACACACTAGATTATAGGTGTAATCTATGTCTATTTCACCTGAGATATTTTGCAATACCATTTGAAACAAATCATAGAAAACGGGGACCAAGATCTATGACAAGACCAAATGGGAAACAAATTGCAAACACAGTGTACAAATTCAAATTTATACAATTAATATCATGAAGAAATGAAATGTGAAATGAGGAAAATGTGTTTCCTCATTTTGTTTTCTGTTCAGTACACTGTAGTATTAAGCTTAGGCCTGTAGATGTCAGTGTTGCAGTAGTGGTCTAAATATAATTTGCCTAACAAACAGTCCATACTACAAGTGGCGGCTGTGAGACAGGTGACGTATGAACAATGATGCATCACATCATCATCATGGTATTTTGTATAACAAATATCTGCGGTGTGGGTCAATAATGAACACTAACTTCCCCGCAGTTCGAAGATCTCCACAATCAGCATGAAGCATGGCTCGGCCAAGGCATCCTTCTTCCCATCCACATCATCCCCATAATCAGATAAGTCGCTGTCTTCCTCCGTTTCATCCTGTAGATGCACCAGAAAGTCATGTGATGACAGTGAACAAATAAGAGGTTGTGTGCTTTTAAGTCAGCCCTTTGCTAGGTTTAGATAAGTCAGTCAGATGTCTTTAAAAAAAAAAGCAACCGTTGCAAAACAAAGTAGCAGTCAGTCTACGAATGTGGGCAATGAATAAAATGTTAGCCAACAATGAAAAAAACACTGCTGAGTCAATGTCTAGTTTGTAGACATACAATTAGTATATTTTGCAGATTGTAGCTGTCCTCCACTGTATGGCCGTCAGCACAAACAGCTTTCACCATTGTCTGACTGGGTAAAGAATACAACATGGTAATGGTGTACAGTGATCAGCTTACTGAGGCATTCAATCAAATCATTAAAATATAGGATTATGTATATTGATCCATGTTTAATCAAATCTGCAGGTTCAACAGCAACCAGATCCAGGTTTTCTTCTGCAAATGCTATTTCTAACAAAGGTTTACATTTTATTGACTGCTGAATGCCAATAAAATTCTGGGCACATTTCTGGTGAAGGGAACATAAAATGACATAGCAAAGGGCTGACTTCAATCACTATCTTGATCAACTTTTTGTCATCCAAATATTAGTAGAAGAGATACTACAGATCCGCTGTAAACCCTACAGTATTCTATAAACACACAATAATATGAGCAATTCTTTAAAAACTCATACATTGTAATAGCTGGGGAGAGCTCACCTCTTGGTGAGAAAAGAATTCTCCAGGAAGTCTTTCCAAAAATGAGGAAAGAGAGAAGGAAGATTTCTTGCATTGGACATCTATGACTTTGAGGTGCTCGGGAGACGGGCTCAGGAAGGCATAGAGCACCTCACTCTGATATAATCTCTCATCAGAAAGCAGCTTCTGTAGATAGAAAGATAAACATCTCTCAATAAATACATCAAGACACTTCAGAATATATTAGAAAGAATTGTGATACTTACAAAATGATATGTTACTTACACAGTGAAAGGACTATAATTACGCATGTATGACACTTTTCTGGCGGTACCAACGCTTTAAAACAGCATGTGCCTTATTCCTGAAAACCCATAACAGAAGTCACCAGCACTCGGTGATGTGTGCAAGAAGTAAAGCACTTTTTATTGAATTGTCACATGCGTCATACAGCCAACGTTTCGGGGGCCACGCAGGGTCCCTTCTTTTGGGTGACATAGTGACCGTTCGTCACTATGTCGCCCAGAAGAAGGGACCCTGCGTGGCCCCGAAATGTTGGCTGTATGACGCATGTGACAATTCAATAAAAAGTGCTTTACTTCTTGCACACATCACCGAGTGCTGGTGACTTCTGTTATGGACTGTATCTGACACGGCTCCATCCGCGTTGCCACTTCAAGCACCAACCTTTCAACAAGGTTTGTACGCTGTATGGAGTGCAGGTGATTTCATATTATCGATTATTCCTGAAAGCCTTGCGTCCTTTTTGGAAACAGTTCTGACAAGTGGGACAGATTCAGGTGGTTCTTATTAGCGCCAAATTAGGAATGTGGTGCTATGGCTGTGATAGAGTAAAAAAGAATTACTGGCAGTTTACAGATCAGCAAACTGGTGGTAATTAAGGTTCTGGTGTACAGAAAGGATGAATAAAATGTCACCAGCACAGCAACAGTATTGCAGTCCAAAGAGTTCGTTTATTGGAACGTCATGTCCCCAAACCAACGTTTTGGTGACATGACGTTCCAATAAACTAATTCTTTGGATTGCAATACTGTTGGTGTGCTGGTGACATTTATTAATTTTTATACTGTGTGGTGGCGGGCGCCATCCGCGGGTCACTACAAGCACCCCCCCCCCCTCATTCAACTTTGCGACAAGTTATATTTTTGTTTATCTGGTGTACAGAAAGACACCAGTGCTCAGAGTGTGCCATGTATGTGCTGTAAAGCTGTCATGAATGCGATAGCTTCCAGTTCATGGTTCATTGGCTGCCAGAACACCGACCTGCAGGGAAATTCCCTAGCGGGCAGCTTAATGTAAACAAAGGGGTCCGCGCTGCTGGCTGACATTACCCAAATATGGGGGACCATAGCCTAAACTGGTGGGGCTTAGAAAAGAGGATATGTTGTAGTAAATATATGTACTGCTGGGCAAATGGGATATTTTTTAGTTTTCAAATGTGTTGTGAGCAATTATTAACAAGCATCACATAAATACC